TGAGTCAGGATATTTCAGGATTAAGACAATTTACATAACAGAACCTTCACATTTGGAAAGTGGATGAAAGTGGCATGCTTTGCCCATGAATAGATGAACCATTTAACTGCCTAGCAAGGTGAGGAGTGGCAGAAGCAGCGTCAGATCATCTCCAGCGTGGCGTTGGGTGGCCCAAGATATTTTCTGGTGAAGCAGTTGTTTTGCTGCTGAGGTTGGGAATGATGTTAATCTGGTGTGGTTGTTATTGCATGTTGTTGCATGTTGTTGCATGTTGTTGCATGTTGTTGCATGTTGTTGCTGTTGCTGCTACTGCTGCTGCTGCTGTTGTTGTTGTTGTTGTCGTTGTGGTTGTCGCTGTCGTTATTGCTGCTGTTGTTGTTGTTGGTGGTGGTGGTGGTTGTGGTGGTGGTGGTGGTGGTGGTCTTGTTATTGTTTTTTGTTCTTGTTCTTTTTGTTCTTGTTGTTGTTGTTGCTGCTGTTCTTGCTGTTGTTGCTGTTGTTCTTGTTTTTCTTGTTGTTCTTGTTGTTGTTGTTGATGATGATGATGGGCGATCAAATCTATTGGCAATCCATGTAATTTTTATATCATAGCGATGATTGCAAAACTGAATTTGCTTACCTTCTCAGTCAATAAAAAAGTGGTGCAGCCTCACCACTGTTGTCAGCAAAACTGAGGTATTCCTGAAGCTGTTGCTCAATTCACCAACTTGGCTGCAATGATGTGGCATTCGCATACACGCAAAATGATAATATGTCTAGATTATCTTATACTATGTACTATATACAAGTTATCATGACGTTGCCAACAAATCGGTGATGCAAGGAATGTGGAAGATTCGGCCAAGTTGCGATGATGTGTTAATGAAAACTCTGTGCCGCCAAACTGGCACCACCTGCATGCCGCTGGCGTACGAAAGTATGCAGCATTCCAAGTGGCAGAATTTACAGCCAGCACGGTCAAGTTGCTTTTTGCAAGGAAAACTTTACCATGTTTGAAACATTTACAGCAGAGAATGTGTTCAGACAACATGATAAATATTAATCAAGCAGCCAATTTACACCGCCGCTGTAACTGTCTAGGCTACTGATACAAATTCCATTATGGGTTTCAAATCACGCCTCAGTTTGGCATCTATTCATGCAATGGGACGCACATGCTAAACTCCCACTACTCTGCTCACAATTCGGATGTTACATTCCAGCTTCATTGTAGACAGCTATGAACTAGTTTGCGTGCATGTGCCTGTGTGTGTGTCTGCATACGTTGTGTGTGAAGATTCATTCTGTTTGCCATGAATTTGGGAGCAAATAGCACTGGTTGTTGTTTCTTGTCATTGCTTTGATCATGTGCAGGCTGAAAAGTTTCACGCAATGTTTCACCTGTTGAGTTATGGTTGGAGAGGTTTGACATAAAACAGACGGAAGTCCTCATCAATGGCTTTTGTGTGCTGTTGCTTTGCCAGATTTGGATCAGCTGCACCTTCTCCAATAATGCATTTTTTCGCAGTGGTCCAGTGTTCAAAATCATTACAAGTGCCTTTCACATCTTCGTGGGGGTTGATTGCAATTGAAGCTCGCGATTAAGAATTTGAAATAGATTGACAGCATGTTGCGGAAGCTGCAGAAAGTTGTTAATCAATTATTATTCTTCACTCTCATGCTACAGAAGATCCTTGACTAGGTTGAATTTGGCCAAAGACCAGACCCACAAGTTATTGAGCCAAAAAAAGTATACATTGCCGGTTCTTGTTTCTAGTGCCACTGTGAGGAAAGATGATTTAATGGTTCGCGATCTCAGTGAAGTTGTAAATCTATGTAAATCTGTATATCCACGGACATGGACTTGTCGTCGGGGCACCCAGTCATCCAGGCGAGCTAAGAGTCGAAGTGTTTGAATGTGCCATGCCAGGACACACTTTCAGGGTGGAAGTGGATAACCAACAGGGGAAACATTTGCAAACTTCAAGTGAAACCTAGCTTGTGAATGCTGAAAGGACTCAGAACTCACAACAGATAGTGGTATGATACTGCTATCTCCATTGGTTTTGGCTCTAAAGCCGCGCTTGACTCACAGCGGGGTCATTCGTCAACTCGTCAACATTGTCGTTTCTGCGAGAAATCCAATCTGTTTCAAATGGCTCATGGCCTTGGTTTGATCGGTTGCATCCTCCTTTGGGCACCAGCTTTGTCCCTCCGCACTGACTTCAATGGGACTGCTGAGTCTGGAGCTTGCGGTCTCTTGTCCAACTGCTGCGCGACACCCAAATGCTCGAAGAAGAAGTACTGGAATTCCAATGCGCTTGTCTACTTGGCATTTGAAAAATGCCGGGTATTTGAACCCAAAGGTCCGTGGAGAACGGAGGATGGCAAACTTGTGACTCCCGACACTTAGCTTTGCAAACAGAAGGTCAACATCTCTCGCCAGGCAAAGACAATACGGATCAGCAGAGATCAGTAAGGATCATTTGATTTAGAATCAGAATGAAGACCACAGTTCCTTAAAATGAGTCTCAGTAAATCACAGATTATCCTCGGACAATTTCCAGGGTTTCACCAAGTTTTTTTCTGCACCAAGGAGATGACCAGCTTGAACAAGGGGCTTTTCACCAAGCTGGACAAAGCCGACTACATCTGCAGGGAGACATGTGACATTTACAAAGAAGACGCAGAGGGACAGCGGAGCTACTACCCGGAATTCACCGGCAGGACCGTTTATCGAGCCGGAGGGGTCGAAGAGTCTTGGGCGATCAACAGGGGCTATGCCGAAGCCATTGATGAACCGACATTGGGGATGGGTCAAACTCATGCTGCCATCTATATGCTGCCATGATGGGGGCGCATGCACGTCCATAAATACCCAGGATTTTTGATGTAACAAGATGTAACAAGTACAAGTACAAGATAGTACAGGGGTGAACTGTATATGAGAACGTAAAATGCCGTAAATTGCATGGGTTTCAGTAAACGCTTCGAGGTGCCGCGGGTGCACCCAAAGTCATTGGTGCAGGATCAGGAGGGATCAAACCTCCACTCTATGAGTCACCAATGAAGTTTTGAGATGTTTTTGGAGGGTGCCACCATCGGTGTCAAGGTTTCCGTGATTTCAAAGTTTATCGACCATGTGGATTGGTGTATGCTTTAGATTTCTGTCAAAAGAGTCAATGAAAACAGAAGGAAACTCACACCAGAGCACAGCTTTAGTCCAGCTTGGCCACGACTTTGTCCTCGCAACGCACACCACAAAATGGCTGAAAAAGTGACTGATCGCAAGTGATACGCCAGTGTGGGAAGTCCACAAAATGGTGCAGATACAAACTTGCATGCCTACACGCACGCACGCACGCACGCACACACACACACACATGTTGTTCACGAGTAATGCTAAGAAACACAGAAGGATCAAATTTCCTGGAAAAACATGCTTGAATGAAGCAAGGTATGAAGCCGGAATCTTGTGATCTTAATGATGGGATTTCCCTCGCCTCCCCCTTGCCCTTGGAAACCTAAGGAAAGACCAAACATGAACTGTCGCTTTGGATATGTCGAAGTCAATAGCCGCTGAAAGCCGGCCGCAGCGGAAGCCTCCACTCCACATATTGCAAAAAGGAGCTGCAGCTGGTGAAGTGCTCGGAAATATGATCTGATCATTTCAGGCATTTTGGAGTGTTGATGAACAGCATCAGAGATAACTGCTTTGGCCATGTCCATTGTGACATGTTGATATGTGATTTCATGGCCTTTCATCAGCCAGGTCCTATGCGGTGGAAAAGCTGGAAGATCGCAGGCGCCACACCTCGCAATGTTTCCAGGTGAACAGGATCCCAAGATATAGATTCCCGTCCCCGGGTTTTAAGATGCAGAAGGGTGGTTTATGTTCCTTAGTGTTTGGGTTCAAGTGAATGGGCGATTGTCCTCATTGCCACCTTTTTTCGGGTGTTCCGACCTGCCCGAGCTGCAAGACCTACTTCAGACTTGGCCATCTACTCCAAGGAGGCAAGCTCTCTGTCTACCAGGAGAGCGCTGTGCTGGGGGCGCTAAGGAATTGCGCTGGTGCACTTAGTGACCTGGTCGAAGTAGGTGGGGGAGGACCGTTCGGGGCTGGTGGCCCTGGCGCAGTTGCTGCTCCGGCAGAGGAGATCGGTAGGTCACCCGTGGTGGAAGAACCCAATAAGGTAGAAGAGCCAGAGAAGAAAGAGAAAAAGGAGGAAGCTAGCAAGAAGGACAAATCCAAGGAGGCCAAGAAGGCCAAGGCCGCAAAGAAAGAAAAGAGAAGGTCAAGTAAGAAGGCTAGGATTGAAAAAGAGAGGAGCCGAAGCAAATCAAAAGGAAAGAGAAGCCCTGAGAGCGGGGAAAGGAAGAGGACGAATCGGGGGACAGCCCTGGAGTCAATTAGTAGCAGGATTGGACATCGAAAAGACAGGGACGACGAACCTTTGCGACGAGAAAGCTCAAGGAGAAGAGAGGATAGAAGAGAGGAACAAGAAGATAAGGACAAGGAAGTCCGAAGACATCCAGAGCGATTTGGCTTGGAGCACCTCCCCATTAGAGGTTCAGCAGGCAGGCACCTCAGTGGACCGCCCATCCCTGCAGGACACCGTCGTCCGCCAGAGCCAGCCGGTTCGCCACCCAGTCGAGGAGGAGCGACAGAAGAGAGACAGAACTCCGATCAGAGAGGGAGAGAGTACGGGGAACACAGCCCTGAGCAGAGGAAGCCCCCTAGGTGGAAGGGGTACGCCCACGTTGAGAGAGGCAGACAGTATTGGCAGAATCAGAAGCGGCGCCGTCACAAGTAGAAATGCCGCCAAAGGCCAAAGCCAAGGCAAGGGGCGCACCCCCTGTCATGGCAAGGATGAAGGCCAAAGCACAAGCAAAAGGAGGAGCCAGGGGCCCGGGTCGGGGAGTTGCAGCCCTTCGACGCCCAGCAGGGGCCGATACCCGAGGAGAAGGCAGAGGAGATCACCTAGCATCTTGGGAGGCTGGACACACTCTGAGAGGAGCAGAGTTGACAGTCGACTGGGCCTTGAAAGCACAGCACCTGGTCGTGGAGGAGGCACAGTACTTCCACAAGGCCTGCAAAGTGGCTGGAGAGGTCCTCGGAGCGGGCCTGAGCGGAGCGCAGGTGTGCTTGCGTCTTCGCCCCACAGGCACGACCGACGAGGCCATTCTGAAGTTGCAGTCCGGGACCCCGCATCTCGAGCTTCGGGTGATCCTATGCCCGAGCGACTGCAACCACGAAGAAGCGGCGGAGGACCTCGTCCACGGAGCTCGCATCCGCAAACGAAAAGGTCCCGGTCAGGAAGAGCCATGGGTAGACAACCTTCTCAAAGTTGCCCCACCCGAAGGCGAGGACGAGCTGGCCAGGCTTCGCGGTCACCTAGCCAGAGACGGGGAAACTCCCTTGAGGAAGGAACCAGGAGAGGCAGAGGCAGTAAAAGTGAAAAAGAAAAAGAAAGAGAAAGCCAAAGAGAAGAAGACAAAAAAGGAAAAGGAGAAGAGCAGGACAAAGAAGAGAGGTTCAAGCAGTCAGGCATCGACTTCGGGGGAAGTAGCCCTGGATGGCAGTCGGGCTCGACTGGCTGCTCAGAAGCCCGTCAGGAGCCTCTTTGGAGGCACGGGAATGGACCCGTCAGAGAAGGTCCGAAACAAGGTCATCAAGCTGGCCAAGAAATACGTCAGAAAGAAAGGGAAGAGGAGCAGTTCAGGCTCGGGGTCTTCGAGCGAGAGCTCCAGGATGGCCCTGCTGGAGGACGAAGGCGACACAGTTTTCCAGCAGGCTGCACGGGTTCGGGGCATAGCAGACTCCTATCCAGGGGTCCTGTCTTTCCAGGCCCTGTCGCAGATGCGATCGAACTTGATGCAGGGTCTGGGAGAGGAAGACCACACCTCCTCGACCAGGCCCGTTGCGGTACAATACTACCGCCAGGTCCTCCAGAAGAAGTGCTCCGGAGGGGTCGCCCGAGAGCTCCTGAGCCTGTGTGCCACCGCAGATTTCCTGGTGAAGGGAAGGGTCACTCAGGCCCTGGACCTCGTTTTCCAGAGGATAAAGAGTGCCGAATCAACCCTAAACGGCACCCACTGGACGGTGAGCCAAAAGCTGGAGCTACTCCCGGCCGAGCAGGCCACGTTGACGGGAGTCCCCGAAATGAAAGAGGCGCAGAAGATAGCCTTCGAAGAATCGAAGACGCGATGGATGGCATCGCTCCCGGAGGGGCGACCCTCGAACGGCCCGAAGGGAAGCGGCAAAGGAAAGCAGTCAGGGAAGGAGGATTTCAGGAAGGGAAGCGACGCAAGGAAAGGAGGGAAAGCGCAAGGCCAGAAAGGAGATTGGAAGAAAAAAGACGAAGGAGGAGGAGCGAAGGCAAGCTAGCTGAGGAAGGGATGACAGAAGATGTGAGATCGGGGAATAAGAGCCCTGAGGCCGAAGAGCCTTCGGGGGTTGAGAGCCCTGAAAAGGCCAGTTTGGAGGGCACTCGAACTGAGGATGTTCCATATGAGGGAAGGACGGCATTGGCTTCCCAGGCGCTGGTAAAGCAGCAGCCCTCCAGCCAGAGCGATGTGGCCTATGAGAATGAGTATAACGCTCTGGCGCAATCAGTGCATGTGGCCGCCCCGCCTTTTGAAAGAACCTCAGAGCCAATGAGCTCTGACCAAGGTTCAGCCGTGGCCGGAGATAGTTCGGATGTCGGCAGCCGTGGGGTGAAAAAATGCATGGGACAGTCGGACTGGGAGGGTCTGAGGCTGGAGTCGTGTGGACCCCTGCTTTTGTTTAAGCTCTTAGAGGTCTTACCACTCTGCAGCCAGGACACGGGTAAGCGGGATAAGGCGTTTATTTTCCCCTTGCCTACCTCTAGGAGTTTTTTGCTTGATTTTGACCCGTCGTTGAATGAGATGGAGCTATCATGGCTATTGTGTGTCGTTTTGTGTCTCAATTCTTTTTGGGGTGATGGTCTTTATTGTGAAGAAGATGTGAACGAAGGGCAAAGAGCCTGCCTGTCGGGACTTGCCAAAGAGGCGCACAGGTTTTCAAACGTGAATGCGGTGATCCCAGAGATGAGCTGGCATGACTTGTTTGCTGTGCGATCTATTGACTATAAAGGTGATGAAGTTAGAGTGGCAAAGACGTTTTCATGGCATAATGTGGCCCCTGCTTTGCCCAATGACGTGGGTAATGTCCCATTGGAGGCAGTCTGTGAGTTGGGGTGCAGGGACTATGTCCTAAACTTTGACCACTATCTTAGGCCTAAGTCAGAGTGGGTGATTTCTGCCGCCCCGAAAGTGATGGTGAAGGACATTGACTGGCCTGAGGTATGTAAAGGTCTTGTGGAAAGCCGGGTATGCGAGTTTATCATGGAGGAAGAGGTGTTTCATACTGCTTCCGGTCCCTTGTTAAACGGGCTCTTTGGGGTATCAAAGGATGAGTCTACTGCTAGCGGAGTTGAGATCTATCGTTTGATCATGAATCTCATCCCTTTGAACCACCTGTGCAAGCCCCTTGCGGGGGACGTGGACTCCCTTCCGGCCTGGAGTACCATGAATCCCTTCTTTCTGCAGCCGGATGAGAAGCTGCTTATCAGTAGTGAGGACGTCAAATGTTTTTTCTACACAATGAGCGTTCCTCGATGCTGGATCAAGTTTCTCGCTTTCAACAAGTTAGTCCCTCTATCAGCGTTGCCTCCTCATTTGAAGGGCCGCAGGCCAGCCGGGTATTGCCCATGGGATTCTTGAACAGTGTCAGCCTGGCACAGCACGTTCATAGAAACCTGGTCAAGTGGAGTTCCTCGCCGAGGTCCTCAGCGGGTGACGGGGTCAATGTCCCTGAGGCAGAGCTGCGCCGTGATCGGGGTTTTTCCCTGCATAACCCTAACTGGAGGGTCTATCTCGACAATTACGATCTGTTGGAGAAGGTCCAGAGGTATGCCGCCAATGATCTCGAGGGTACCTGTGCAGCAAGCATCCTGTCGTTGAGGCAGGAGTATGAAAGATGGGGTGTCCCTAGAAACCTCAAGAAGTCGGTTCAGCGATCTGCAGTCTGCGAACTCCAAGGTGCAACGGTGGACGGTGAACTCGGGGTTGCGTACCCTAGAGAATCCAAGCTGGCTAAGTATTTTGGATTGGCAGTCACTCTCTGCCAGCAGACACAAGCTACGCAGAAACAGTGGCAGATAGTTTGCGGTGGACTGGTGTACTTCAGTATGTTCCGAAGGCCACTTTTGGGTTGCCTCAATCAAGTGTGGCAACATATCTTGGCCTATGACAGGCTGAAGCGCCGGTATTTGGACACGCCACCCGAATGTCGGTTGGAGGTTTTGCGCTTCCTGGGCATGCTCCCACTTGCGCGGCTTGATTTTCGTCTGGATATGCACCCGATGGTCACTTGCAGTGACGCCTCATCTCAAGGTGGCGGAGTCTGCGCAACTACAGCACTCACCGCAATGGGAACCATGGTGGCCGGTGGAAGCTTGCGGGGAGAGATCCCTGAACCTTGTGATGACCTGACGGTCTTTTCGATCGGACTCTTTGACGGCATCGGGGCCCTCAGGGTGGCCTTGGAGGTCATCAGTGTTAAGGTACTAGGGCATGTGTCCGTGGAATGCAACAAGTCAGCACAGAGAGTTGTCGAGGCTCATTATCCTGGAGTTCAAGTCGTGGACTCGGTACAGGAGATCAACTTTGAGATGGTCAACCGGTGGGCGTGCCAGTACTCACAGTGTTCAATGGTCCTGATTGGAGCCGGACCTCCGTGCCAGGGGGTCTTGGGGTTGAACCCTGACCGAAAGGGGGCTCTACGGGATGAAAGGTCTTGTTTGTTCAGTGAGGTCCCCCGGGTCCGTGACTTGGTCAAGCAGGCTTTCAAGTGGTGTCCAGTGCATGTACTGATGGAGTCCGTAGGTTCGATGGACGAGATCGACCGCAACATCATGAGCGCTGGCTATGGAGGAGAGCCGATCTTTTGCGATGCGGGGTCGTTCACCTGGTGTCATCGCCCAAGGCTGTATTGGCTGAGTTGGGAGCTTTCGGCTTCAGACGAGGTGGCAGTGGATGACAGCGGCCCAGTGACGCAGGTAACTCTGGTGGGCCAGCAGCACCTGACGGAAGTTATTCGGTCTGGTTGGAATAAGGTGGATGTGTCACGTCCTTTCCCTACTTTCACTACTAGTCGCCCGCGCCCAAGAGCGGGAAGGAAGCCCGCAGGTGTCCAGCACTGCAGCTTGTCAGAGCTGGAAAGATGGCACATGGACTCTTTTCGGTTTCCGCCATACCAGTACAAAGATGGAAACTCCCTGTGCAACGGAGCCGGGGTCTATCGGGTCCCTGACGTCTCTGAAAGGGAATTGATGCTTGGTTTTCCCCTTCACTACACTGCGTCCTGTCTGCCAAAGTCTGAGCGGCGGAAGACCGAGTACAACGATACCCGGCTCACTTTGTTGGGTAACAGTTGGTCCGTGCCAGTGGTCGCCACTTTGTTGAGTCAGCTGTTTGCGTGGCTGGGTTGGATCCATGCCATGAGTCCACAGCAGGTGCTTGACGCTTGCCGGTCCGGAGAATACCTCTGGTCAACAGGGGCTGGTCGCGGTCAAGCCTGTGATACTATTGCGGGGCTGCAGGACTTGCAACCTGATTTACGGCATAACCTCCCTGGCGCATGGAGACTGATGAAGACATGGGCTATCAACGAGATCCCAGCCAGAGCCCCACCGATCCCTGAACACGTGGTAAAAGCCATGGCGGGGTGGGCCTTCCTGAAGGGCTGGAACTCGTTCGGGGTTTCCCTGGTTGTTGGCTTTTACTCCATGCTCCGTACTGGCGAAATTCTTAACCTGAGATCCAGTCACCTCCTGTGTGGGCCACAAGACAAGCAGGTCGTTATCAGTCTGGGCTTGACAAAGGGGGGCAAACGCCGTGGAGCGGCGGAAAGTGTCATTTTGGGTTACGAGCCGGCCGTTATGCTGGTGAAGAGATGGAAACATGTTAGTGATCCCTCAAGTTCCTTCTCTAAGACTTCGGCTCAGTGGCGCAAACTGTTTAATGAATGTCTGGAGGCACTAGGATTATCCCAGTTTCAGTTTCGACCGTACTCTCTCAGGAGGGGCGGCGCCACCTATTGGTTTAGTAAACACCAATCACTAGATCGACTTTTGATCCAGGGGAGGTGGGCATCTCAGAAAACTGCTCGCCTTTATCTCAATGAAGGACTTGCCATGCTAACAAGCATGAATCTGCCACCAAATCACCCTAAGGTGAAACCTTTCATTAATATTTTCGTTCAGACTGTCCAGAATTCGAACTTTTCAACACTTGAGCCTCCAGTTTCAAAAACTGGAAGTACTGGGGGCCGTGGTAGGAAACGTGGACGAAGAGCCATGAAAGTAAAAGTGTGGCGGATTGTTCCTGAAAACTGAGATCTCAGAGCTTATTTCATTTATTTTACCTACCACAACATCATTTCCATTTGGCTCTGTGATCCAGGGGCCTGAGGTCTGGCTTGGCACCTTGGACCGGGTCTTGAGCAATTTCCTCATTAGTCTGGGGTCTGGCCCGACTTTTGAGAATCTAACAGTTTGGGGTGAAGAGTGATGAATGATGTTTTTTTGTGGTAGGTCCCTCTATTTAATTTTCCGTTGACTAAATTGCTGCGGAGTGGAACAAAAATACCTGAGGCATCTTTAGATTCCCGTCCCCGGGTTTTAAGATGCAGAAGGGTGGTTTATGTTCCTTAGTGTTTGGGTTCAAGTCCCATCCCATCCCTCCCGAGGCTAGTCCTTGATGGAGGGTAGGAAACGTGGACGAAGAGCCATGAAAGTAAAAGTGTGGCGGATTGTTCCTGAAAACTGAGATCTCAGAGCTTATTTCATTTATTTTACCTACCACAACATCATTTCCATTTGGCTCTGTGATCCAGGGGCCTGAGGTCTGGCTTGGCACCTTGGACCGGGTCTTGAGCAATTTCCTCATTAGTCTGGGGTCTGGCCCGACTTTTGAGAATCTAACAGTTTGGGGCGAAGAGTGATGAATGATGTTTTTTTGTGGTAGGTCCCTCTATTTAATTTTCCGTTGACTAAATTGCTGCGGAGTGGAACAAAAATACCTGAGGCATCTTTATATAACCAGATATGACAGGTACTTGGCCTTGTCTTGACTCAATGTTAGGCTTAGGCTTTATTTGCATTTGTTTGCAAGATTTTGCAAGGTCTTGAGGCGGTTACAACGGACTTCTGCGATGAGATGCGATGAGGTCTTGCTCTGGGGATTTAGATGTTCCCCTTCCGTTGTTGAAGCAGTTGGTGAAGTAGTTAGTGCCTCATCCAAATCACTCAGGGCATGTGTTTGGAAGAATGATGGTTATATGATGGTTATATATAGTGTTAAATATTGTGTGATATAATATATATATATATATATTATTATTATTATTATTATTATTATTATTATTATTATTATTATATATGATATATACATATATATATATATGATTATATATATATATGATATATGTATATATATAATAATAATAATAATAATAATAATAATAATAATAATATATAACTCCCTCACTCCCGCAGAATGGTGACATCTTCCAGAAATCGTCCAAAAACAAGCGATGTTTCGGAGGACATCTCCGGAATCGTCCACTGAGTTTCTGCCGGGCTCGGAGAAAAAGATCTCCGGAGCCGTGGGAAACCATGGGAACCTGCAGATATGTCCATTAATAGTAACGATGATAACATTTTCTAAATGATAATGATAACAATATAATGCTAGTTAAATAGTAACAGTAATAGTAATAGTAATAGTAATGATAGGAATAACATTGATAATTAATAGTAACGATGATAAATTTTTCTGAGGTTGCTATTAATGTTGCTATTGATATTATATAATAGTAGTAACATGGTAATAACCAATAATTATTAATAGCAACATTACCCTCTAGTTATTTAACATAGCCATGGGATAGATGGCCCATAGAAATAGATGGTTTACCTATTAAACATGGTGATTTTCCATGGCTATGTTAAATAACTAGATGGTACATGTCCAACATTACTATCATGGTAACATGGTAGATGGTATATATGATAGTCTACCGTGGGAACATATGGGAACCATAGCAACTATCATCCTGGACACACTCTTCCATGTTTTCTTTTGGGTGCTATATGTATAGATAGATAAATAAATACATAGGCATACGTAGGCAAATAAAACAATAGATAAGTAAATAAGTAAACAAATAAATAGATAATATACTGTACATATACATGTATAGATATACTAGAGCAACACATCTGAGAAGCGGCACACGAATCAACGAACAGCCATTTGCTGCGACGGGTGATCAGCCTGGCCACTGATCAATTTACCTGCCTGCAATGATGACACATGATATGTCTATGATTATATGATATTATATGATACTATAGATACTATAGATACGGATAATCAGATAATATAATCTTATATATAGAGATACTAGACATGTTTGAGATTGCTGACAAATCAGTGATGAAAGGAATGTGGCTCCGTGCCGTCGGGCGTATGCTGCATTCCGGTGGAATTTGCAGCCACGGTCAAGTGGCTGGATCCTTTGCAGCAGAGAATGTGTTGAGACAGCATTATAAATTAACATAATATAAATATGAACGAACCATAAATTGCAGCTGTACTGTTGAGGCTGTTAGTAAGACTGTCCTCTAATCTATGCCTGATACTATGCAGTGCCAACTGCTCAGAATCCAGCCAATGTTTTGGCGGTTGAGTTGTGTGTTGTAGCTTTGCCTTGGTTTGAAATATCTGGTGAGTTGGTTTCTTGATGTTTCTTGTACGTATGAAAATGTGCGTTCTTGTTTGTTCTATGGTATTGTAGTCAAGCGATATCTCTTCAAGCTTCAGATATGGTGTGTAGATGACCTGCGTGTCCATGACCCCAGATTCGCCAGTTGGATGAAGTCGCAGTGACCTTTAGGCCTCAACGTCATGAAATTCGTTCTGGGTCTTTGAATACATGGAATCTGGTCAAAGATCCAAAAAAACATGAGCAATGAGAAAGAAACATTGCCAGTGGCTGTAGTGGCACTGTGAGGTAGTATGGTTCAATAGTTTGCAATCAAAACCAAATATACATATGTGATCAAGCCATATCAAGCCTATGTATTTATTAATGTTCATTACGTGTATTGTGTGGTATGATGACATATCATATCATATTATGACTATATTGTACACCTGGTTGCTTTTTGTTGCTTTAAGCGATGTAGATCAGATTAGATCAGCGTGCTTCTTCAGTATGTGCTCTTCTCGCCTCGATGCAGTGGTCGCTGCCATGCGCTGCTCCTTGGAAGGTGCAAGTCCGGTCTGCCACCCCGCACGAAGCCAGAACAAGGCATATGTAGTACATGTAGATCATGTAGTATAAAAGTGGACATTCACAGCTTGATTCCAATCTTAAAACATCTTAAAACATGGTAAGCGTATGATATGCAGCAATGGAAAAAAAGTAAACAAAACATAACAAAACCATGCCCAAATTGACCAGAAACAAGCAGTATAAATAGTATAAACTATCGCCCCGAAAATTGGAGGTTTATTGTTGGGTTCACCACATTGTATAAATACGTACTGTATATATTTCAAATTTATATTATAAAATATAAGTACAATATTCATCTCATATATCTATATATATTTTATTATATATGTACATTGCATGCATACAACAGCAATTTCAGAAAGTAGGTGAAGGTATTTTGTTGATCTCACCTCACACCGATCATTCAATTCGTTATTGTAGTCACAATTGTCCATGCTATCATAGTCATAGCATTGTCAGCATTGTATTTATTTAGTATGCAGTATTGAGCAGTAGTCTTTGTCTGAAAATTGGGGACCCCTCCAAAAAAACCAATGGTTATCATCATTCCGCCACCCCGTAAATACCATAAATTCTGTGGCAAATCTTTTATTATCCAGAACAATTTTCGTGAATATTTCATCAATATCCCAACAGCCCATCAATGTTCATTGATTTAATGGGATTTAACCAATGATAGCCCCATGACCTAAAAGGTCGACCCGCCAGGCAGAGCTCAAGTGTCTCTGCGAGAGATTGCTGTGGAGTTTGAAGTCTCCAAAGCTGAGGTGCCATGGAAACCAGAGGAAACCCCCAAAAAGGCCCTATATGTTTTATCGGTACCCTCTGGTAAACTAACATAGCTATTGAAAATGGTACATTTATAGTGGATTTACCCATTGAAAATGGTTATTTTCCATAGCTATGTTAGTTTACCAGAGGGTAAACAGCATGGTTTCCGGTGATGTTTTCTCTTAAACCAGTTCGTTGAAGCTGGCCATCTACATTTGCAGTTTTCCTCTAACAAAAATTCAAGTCTTATCCACTTCAAGTTTGCACCCAGATGTTTAATGTCCATCTTTCCGAGCCCATCTCCATTTTTGTTTTTCATTTATTTGCGGGTTTCCTAAGTCATTTTTAGACCCCTTAAAACATTATGATATAGTTGATGGTATCCCCTTCTATTTATATTCCCAGTTTTACCCACCTATAATCACTTATGTCCCAAAATGTCCCAAATTCATCCGAGAACAGTTATCCACAATTATGCCATATTATGCCAGTCGAATATGTGAAATACTTACCGCAATAATTATTCACAGCAATGTCAGTTATATCATTGATATCCCAGTGATCTTCCAGTTATCCCCTACTTTCACCAGCAGCTTACCGCAGCTTCCCAGGCCTCTCAGCTCTTACACCGCGCGGCGAACTCGATGCGGGGCCGCTGCACCGTGGATGTGGTGGTCGCCACCACTGGGCAGCGCGGGCAGAGCGGGGTGCGGGAGTTTCATCTGCGAGCGGAGGAGAGAATTCATCGCATGAACTTGATGTTGCTATAGATATGATATATATATATAGATATACGTAGATATAGATATAGATGTTCTTATTGTATCTTATGGAATATTGTTATTGAACTGTTATTGTGCAAATCTATGCTTATCTTGCTTATTTTTGTCGTTGTAATTAAATGTAATTAGTTGGGTTACAATCAATATTGTTCATTCTCTTATGTTTGCCAGGGCCAAAGTTGGATTAAAGGTACCGGAGTCACTCTATTCCCATGTATTTTTTTTCTAATATCTGGGTGACAGCTGCAATTGACGTTTTATATGTATCTTTCACCTCAGTCGGGAAAAGCTACATCAGCGCTTTGAAAGGTGTGGCAAAAGGTACACGCATTGTTTTTCTATGTTTTTCTATGTTTCTGCTAAGACGAAAACCAACCCTGAATTGGTATATATTCAGGATGGGGCGAAAGGAAACGCAAAGGATGCAAAAGCGCGCCAAAGGGCAGTTCTCATGAACCAGTTTTTGAGCAACCTCATCCATTTAAATATATATATATATGTATAGCACAGTGAGGGATGGTCATACCGGGAACCTGGTATCACCATCAAAGACGGGAGCTATAGTGACCAAAATAGGATTCCAAATAATGCTGAGATGACTATTAACCATATACCATGTTTTGACTGTGGCATATAGGTTGTTATTACATGTTATTACATGTTATTACTGTACATTGTCATTATTATTTGTGATTGTAGTAAGTATTGCCAATATTGTCGGTTATAGTAGTAAGCAGGGATAATAATTATAATTGTAATATATATATATATAATATAATATATATATATATGTAGTGATCATGTTTAGAACTATATATAATATATAATATAATAATATTTATATAGTCTTCAGTAGTGTAGCCCAAATGATGTATCATTATCAATGGGTGAAACTTGGAACCCAAGAGGGCCATCCTTCCAGGATGAGCAGAAAGATCGCGAAGATTCGCATGTGGAAACTTTTCAGATCCGAAGATCGTCTCTGAGCATCCAAGACGCAGCGACGCTGCAATGGGGAGCTGAACTGGAGAGCTGCTGGGAGGAGTGTCAGAGGCCGACGGATGGGCTGAAGCTCAAAGAGTCGAGGGATGAACGGAGATTTGTTTTTCTCACTGCTGGGGGTTGTTCAAACCCATTGTAGGTGTATATAAATGGTTGCCACAAACAAGAGGAAATTCGTGATTTACCTTGAGATTGAACCAATTTTCTCCTCCCTAGTATCTGTATCTGGGGTGTTGGCAGCAACCCTGAATTCCGGCAGGCTGTACTGTATCGACTGAAAGATGATTACTTGATACTGTCTTGATGATGCTTCATATTGGTTTGACCAAAAATGGTGTGTGCCTCAATTTATAGCAAAAGGTAAAACATCATGATAGTCGTGGAATTCCTGCTATGTTTTCAAACCAACCCACAACATGAACTGCTGGAAGTGTAATCCCAAAGTCAGACACTGTCCATCAGCAAGACCAGGCGGCTACCAGAAGAGTTACCTGTGCCCAGAAGAACACAAGTGGTTGACTTGTCGGACGAAGACTGCTGTGTGCTGGACTGATGCTGCCGAGATGTGAGGAAAAAAATGGGAGGACATCATTCGAATTCGTGCATCAATTCACCTGACCAGCAGTTTGGCAGTCCTTGCACCAGCGCTGGATTCTGGATTCTTGGAAAGTGGTTTCTGGCGCCCAAACCATCTTTTGCAGCGCGTACTGGGAGAATATGGCTATGGGAGAATGATGCATTGGATATGCTGCTACCTGAGACACCGCAAGAGTTGCGTGCGGAGATCTCCCGATGATTGCTGGGGCTGGATGAGCTGGATGCAACAACTTGCAAGTTGATGGGTATCAAATATATTCCAATATGAAAAATATGTGGACGGTATTACCTGATTTTGACTTCACTGAGAATGTGAATGGCAGCTCCAACAGCCATTCGAGCACTTGAGCTGCGAGAAAAAATGCGATGGCCAGGTGGTCGATAGCTTGCAGAGAACACGGAACAAACACCCAGTTTATTGACTGACAATGTTTGATTTATCCGGAGATCTGATAGATTTGAACATTGTGCATAGACTCAAAGATTGTGTCACACTGGTCCTGTTTCAACCATTTCTATTTGCAACACAACACATTTCGAATCTTCCGGACATTTAAGGGCCACCACCCGGACCTTGAACTGTGGTGTTCATGGCTTAAGCGCAGCAACGGCTTGCAGCGGGGTGACGGCACCGCAGTGGAGGATTTTCCAGAATGTTGTTTGGACCTCAGAAGTTGCGGAAACTGAGCAGCGGGAAAAACCGTGGAAACTACTGGTATGGAAAAACACATGATTGTTGTTCTGGATTGGGGTTGATGTGGGGTGATGATGAAAACAAAGCTAAACATTTTGCAATCAAGTCTCCATTGAACCGTGCGACAAAGGGACTGCTGTAAGTAGCAACTGCCCAGAGAACCCATCATGAGACCTGCTTAGAGAGGTATGCACAGATGTGGAACCATGTGGATGCCAGATATACCAGGACCCGTTACCCATACTACACACTACGGGGAGGTAAATCATTGCTTCACCTGCTCTCATTTGAGGCCCTATTATTTGATGATATTGCCATCGTGCCTTGCCTCAGCGCAGCTTCGAGACTTTCTGAAGACATCCATCACCATTATTGCCAGGACATGACAAGAAGTCACTCAGACCGTCTCAGACCTTCAGTTTTTGCCAGCTCTCTTGGAAAGGTGGATATGTTTGGCTCTCCTGTTGCTCCTGGTTTGTGGCCCTAGTTGTTTCGTTTCATGGAGGGAGTCGGTATGTGGTGACTGGCGCATTTTTCGTTGCAGCTTATACTGTCATCAGAGGATCATCTATGCAATACAATCAATACATGGTTCTGGGATTCTGGGGCTATAGAGAGGTTGACGATTGCGGTCGATTTCTCAATTTGAAGTCCTTCAAATTGTATGGCAATGCTGAGGTACAGACTTTTCATGCTCTCCAACATGAAAGCGCTGATCGAAAACTATGGTGGGGCCATTCGCGGTGTGATCAGATGTTATTGATGTTAGTAAGATGACCCAAAATGGTGTTAACAAGAACAGGCGAGATTGATGCGAACAAACAAATCCAAAAGAGTGTGACATTGCAATTCAACATCCGTTGTTTGATTTTATTACAATTATTATATATATATATATATATACACACTTAATTCATTAGATATCATAGCACTTTGTTGAAGTCGGTTCATTGTAATTTTTGCGTCGTTTCGTCCAGTTAAAACTTGCCTAGGAAGGCAGTGAAAATCGTTTGACAGTCGCATGACACACTTCATCCCTGGACCAGGAAGATATCGATCAGCCTAGCAGCTTTTTTTTTGATTGACAAAGGATGATAAATTATGACAAAGCATGATAAATTGATGATAAAATGAATGATGATCAATGCAGGTCACAGTCTCACCGTTTTAGAAAGAATGTCACCAAGTCTCAACAGGGAATGCAGAGGCGGAAGGCTTCAACGAACTAGATAGTTCCCCCTCCAAATTGCGATGATCGTCGAATAGGTAGCAAGAGGACTCTCCTGCTTTTTGTTTGTCTCTTCCTGATCACGAGACCCTCGGCAGACGGCCAGGCTCTTTTATTGGTGCCTCTATTGTGTAGCGTTGGGAGCCTCATTGTCCAAAAGAAGCATTGAGAACGGAAGATACAGGAAGGGTAATCACAACATCACAAAAGCTATGACAGTTTTTCAGTTCACGTATGATCTCATGAGGTGATGTTGCTGAGGTCGATCTTCCTGTACTTCGAGTGGCTGATTTGCATACCCTTCTATGTCGCTCGCTGAGTGCTAGCTTCCGATAAGACACCTGTCCAGCTCAGGAGGTCGGAACCAGCCCATTTTCCAAAACTGAAGAAACCTGAAGAACCTGTGGCTCTCTACCTGTGGCTTGAAACAATTCTGGTTTCATGTGGCTTGAAGTTGGTCAATGATCGTGTACTTGCTGTAAGACCGGCATCAAAAAATCGGACTGTCATGTGTACATGATGAATTCATGATGGGATCAGCTGGTCCTCGAAACCTTGACATGAACATGGATTGGATATGGCAACACACCACCACAATTTGGATCCATACGAAAAAAACACGGGCAGATTACAATAGATTAGATGATGTATCATGATGTAAAATATGCCATCTCTGCAACCAAGACATACATAGGACCTCAGAATCCAACTAAGACATATATAGGACCTCAGAATCGCAGATTTTTAGGTTGGAAGGGTGTCTTCCAACCCCCAATACATCCCAATACTGCCAGGGGTCAATTCAACTTCGCCCTATTGAAGTGAAAGGTCATTGACTCGCTTGTCATGGTGTTCTCCTTGATAGGCTTTTCACCTGCCCGAGGTGATTTTGCCCGAGGTTTCCTTCTACGTAGACATCTATTATGAGACGCAGCTTCTAGCCGTGCTCTCAAGTTTGCATTTGTTTCCTTGAAAACCTGAACTGAACAGTGGCATGCAGTAGCTCACAAAAATATACAAAAAATACAATTTTGCTTATGGCTTTTGGGAATGTAAGGGTATTTCAACAGGATTCATCACTAGAGATGCTCAGAATCAGTATATATCAGTATGATACTTATGATCAGAATCACAGTACGGCATGCTACGATGCTGTTCGTGTCCCAGCAGTACAGTCTTGCGCAACGGGGCATTGCTGGAAAGCAGGTGATCTTCTGGTTGGTGTATCCAAAAACCTTGGGCATCAAGAATCTCCAGGCCTACGATGTGTTGCTGATTGAAAACATTTGCTGTGCTTATACAAGCTTGCGTATACGCGTCATCTTGCCAGCGTCAATGATTGGGAGGGTGTATTGGCAGAAATGATCCAAGAAGGGCACTCGCGGTACATGGAATTCCTGTACAGCAGTCGTCAAAAAATTGTGGAACATGGGCCCAAGCGCACTTTGAGTGTCAGTTACATAGGAGTCGAGTGACAGTATTTTGCGAAGTTCTGTTGTGCCATGGCCATCATGGTGTGGATCACCGCCCTGAGCCTTGCAGGAGTGCCCATGGCTCCCTATGGAGTGGATATCCTTAAAGCCATAATAAAATTGGATTCCGGTCGCCACTACACCGACCATAGGGTGTAAAAGCCGTGTTCTGCGCAAAAAAGCCTTTGGATCCACCAAGATTCACCTTTTCACGGCAAAGCATTTTGTAAAAAGGTGGTTCCCTTCAAAGAATGGCCACACAATGTTGCACCATTCACATTATAGAAACATGTCCCCCCAATGATTTTGACTGTTTTTTCTTGTTGGAGCTTTAGACATGGCAAAGCATTTTATAGAGGCAAGAATTCCCTTCAAGAGTCATTTACGGTCGCAGGGTTACTCAGAAGGGCTCATCACATCATGGCTGCAATTCAAAAAACTGCTCGTTCATTCAAAGAATTGAATGCCAGTCAACAAATTAAATATGTTTCCATACCGAAACATTCAAAAACATTCCTTTTCAATCTTTTCGATTGCGGTCTTTCGACTAACCGACTAACCATAACATTGCCGTCTCTTGATAGAAATGCCACAACAACCCCAATTTCATGTCAGTCTAGGGTACATCTGTGGCATTTCCGATGCAACATATTCCAAAACTCTCCACAAGATTCGACTAATTCAATAACATACTGTACCCCAATTAAAGGACCGGATAACCCCACAAGGCAACTTCTTCCAATAGTGAGCACCAAATGTTGTAGCGGGGACGAGGAAAGAAGGAAAGACAAAAGAGGTGGTAGAGGATCGAGAAGTAAAACAAAGTTGTGTGTGACAAAGTTGTATGTGAAAGATGGTGTGTGACAAAGACAGATGGTGTGTGTGTGTGTGAAAGAGAGCGTGTGACAAAGTTGTGTGTGAAAAATGGTGTGTGACAAAGTGGTGTGTGAAAGATGGTGTGGCGAAAGATGGTGTGTGACAAAGCTGTGTGGGAAAGATGGTGTGTTGAAAGATGGTGTGTGACAAAGTTAATGTGTGAAAGATGGTGTGTGACAAAGTGGTGTGTGAAGGATGGTCTGTGACGGTATGTGAAAGATGGTGTGTGACAAAGACAGATGGTGTGTGTGTGTGTGTGTGAAAGAGAGCGTGTGACAAAGTTGTGTGTGAAAAATGGTGTGTGACAAAGTGGTGTGTGAAAGATGGTGTGGCGAAAGATGGTGTGTGACAAAGCTGTGTGGGAAAGATGGTGTGTTGAAAGATGGTGTGTGACAAAGTTAATGTGTGAAAGATGGTGTGTGACAAAGTGGTGTGTGAAGGATGGTCTGTGACGGTGTGTGAAAGATGGTGTGTGACAAAGTGGTGTGTGAAAGATGGTGTGTGACAAAGTGTGTGTGAAAGATGTTGTGTGAAAGATGGTGTGTCAAAGATTGTGTGTGACAAAGTGGTGTGTGAAGGATGGTCTTTGACGGTGTGTGAAAGATGGTGTGTCAAAGATGGTGTGTGAAAGATGGTGTGTGACAAAGTGGTGTGTGAAATGGTGTGTGACAAAGTGGTGTGTGTGAAAGAGGGTGTGTCAAAGATGGTGTGTGAAACATGGTCTGTGACATCGTGGTGTATCACAGATGGTGTGTGACAAAGTGGTGTGTGTGAAAGATGGTGTGTCGAAGATGGTGTGTCCAAGCGCCCCGCTAGAGGTTAGCCTAGTGCCATAAGTGCCACGCCTGCCACGCCAAACGAAGGTGGATGTCACCAAGTGCCACGCCTGCCAAGCAAAACGAAGGTGGATGTCACCAAGTGCCACGCCCGCCATGCAAAACGAAGGTGGATGTCACCAAGTGCCATGCCGGTCACCAAGTGCCACGCCTGCCACATGAAAGGAAGGTGCATGTCACCAAGTGCCACGCCTGCCACGCAAAGTGGCACGGCGTCCGGCGACCAACAGCGACCAAGCGCACCACCAGAGCCAGCCATAGCCAGCCCAGTGCCATAAGTGCGACGCCTGCCACGCAAAACGAAGGTGGATGTCGCCAAGTGCCTTGCTTGCCACATGAAATGAAGGTGCATGTCACCAAGTGCCACGCCTGCCACGCAAAGTGCCGAGCGTCACCGGCGACCAACGGCGACCAAGCGCGCCACCAGAGCCATCCCAATGCCATAAGAGCCACACCTGCCACGCAAAACGAAGGTGGATGTCTCCAAGTGCCACGCCTGCCACGTGAAACGAAGGTGGATGTCACCAAGTGCCACGCCTGCCACGCAAAGTGCCGCGGCGTCACCGGCGACCAACGGCGACCAAGCGCGCCACCAGAGCCAGCCCAGTGCCATAAGCGTCACTCCTGCCACGCAAAACGAAGGTGGATGTCTCCAAGTGCCACGCCTGCCACGTGAAACGAAGGTGGATGTCACCAAGTGCCACGCCTGCCACGCAAAGTGCCGCGGCGTCACCGGCGACCAACGGCGACCAAGCGCGCCACCAGAGCCAGCCCAGTGCCATAAGCGTCACTCCTGCCACGCAAAACGAAGGTGGATGCCTCCAAGTGCCACGCCTGCCACGTGAAACGAAGGTGGATGTCACCAAGTGCCACGCCTGCCACGCAAAGTGCCGCGGCGTCATCCGCGACTAATCTGAAAGATGGTGGTCAAAGATGGCGTGTGACAAAGTTGTTGTCAAAGATGGTGTGTGACAAAGTTGTGTGTGACAAAGATGGTGTGCAAAGTTGGTGCGTGACAAAGTTGTGTGTCTGACGTCAAAGGCAAAGTTGGTGTGTGACAAAGTTGTGTGTCAAAGTTGCGTCTGACAGTTGGTGTGTGTCAAAGATGGTGGTCAAAGATGGTGTGTGACAAAGTTGTGTGTGACAAAGATGGTGTGAGACAAAGTGTGTGTGAAAGATGATGTTGACAAAGTGTGTGTGAAAGTTTGTGTGTGTGTCGATGGTGTGTGACAAAGTGTGTCTGACAAAAGTGTGTGTGACAAAGTGTGTGCGAAAGATGGTGTGTGACAAAGATGGTGTGTGTGAGGAAGCGGGAGGCGGGAGGAGGCGGGAGGGCGGAGCACCCGGGATACAGAATCAAAAACAAGAACCCCACACAAAGTTGTGGGGAAAAAACACATTTGAAACAAGTCAAACACACTCAAACAACACCAGAAACATCAAACAAACACCTTGAATATCTTTGAATCAAATCAAAAAACATGCGATAAAAGACAAGTCAAAACAAACAAACAAACACATTCAAGAAAAAAAATCAACAAAAACAAAATCATGCAAGAAAAACACCAACTTTCAAACAAACTCAAAATATGCAACAGAGTTGGAAAAACCGTTTGAAAAAAACAACACATTTCTGTTTCAGATTCTTGAGTTTTAAACACCCATTCCAACCTGTTCGTTGTAATTTATTCTGCCAAAGCTGCCCAGATTAAGATGAATGATTGTGAATTGTGACTGCCTCTATCAAGGCGAATGAATACCCCTTCCCATGAGGAAAACTCCCCAAAGAAGGACGAATGCTTTTGATTGCAGTCATGGCCTATGAAAAGAAACGTTGCAGAGCATCATCCAGATATATCCAGATCATTGCAGTGAAACTTGCGGTCAGACCCCATCCCCTTATGGCTGTGAAAAAAACAGGTAAGAGACCCCATTGAATGGTGTTTCCCCATGTTCAGGTTGTGTGGAGCCACTTTGGGGGGGATGTTTTTTTGAAATGATTTTTGATTCCCAGCGATTCCTAGCATTTTGAACAGATTTTTTTACTCAACAGTTTCAACGTGGCTCATGCATTTTATGAACAACTACCTCGATATCTCCATCGATGTGATTAGTGCAATCATCGATATTACAACGATCGTTGTGTGCTGGGTAATGCACATTATATGTATCACTTTCTACATCAGTATTATTCCTTGGGTGTTGCACATTTCATTTTATAGACATGGGATACATTCATACACGCCCTCAAACATCCAGAACGTTTTTTTGTTTTAACGTGGCCAGGCCATTTTATACAACGTTGGCTTGTGACTTTATAGCCAAAACATGTTGGCTTTCCACTGTATACCCCCCCATTGGCCATTCCAATTTATACCAGGTTATTTTGCGCAGACTGCCCAAAGCATCTGGGGGGCCATGATGCAGGAGCTGCTTTCGCTGCTCGCCTTCACGAGGATCTCACAAGTAAGGGCCGCTTGGTGGACGACTCGGTGGACTGTTCTCTTCGCGATCCGGTTCCATGGCCCGGCCCGTTTTCAGAAGGTGTCTTTGGAAATCCAAAAGTCGAGTCTTGGGTGAGCCAGCCCAGATGGAGGATCATGTACGTACCGGACCATGTGATCCATCCGAAAGACTGCGAGCTGTATTTCGATTACCTCCCAGTCGTCGGGGCTTTCGTGCGCCCCGAAATGAGGATCCAAAAAGACACAGAGGGAAAGATTCATAGTTTTTGTGAAGTTGCAACGTGGAGGGGGGGACGATGGGATCCCCCCGCTCTTTGCAGGGTCGACGAGGGAGACACAACGTGGAAGAAGGCATGGGGTTTAAAAAACATATATATATATATATATACCCGCAGGACGCTTGGTTCGCCGTCGGTGTATATGCATGTTTTTTGTGTTTGGGGGGTGGTGTGGGGGGGGGGGTGGGTGGGGGGGTGGGGTGGAGGGGGGGGGTTTGGGGGGGTTTGGGTGGGGGGGGTGTGATAACGTCTTGTCGCGCGCTTTTTTTTGGCTGCAAATATGACATTATCGTTATGTTTTCAGGGTGGAAATGCTACGTTATCGCTATGTTTCCAGGGTGGAAATGCTACGTTATCGTTATGTTTTCAGGGTGGAAATGCTACGTTATCGTTATGTTTTCAGGGTGGAAATGCTACGTTATCGCTATGTTTCCAGGGTGGAAATGCTACGTTATCGTTATGTTTTCAGGGTGGAAATGTTACGTTATCGGTATGTTTTCAGGGTGGAAATGCTACGTTATCGTTATGTTTTCAGGGTGGAAATGCTACGTTATCGCTATGTTTCCAGGGTGGAAATGCTACGTTATCGTTATGTTTTCAGGGTGGAAATGCTACGTTATCGGTATGTTTTCAGGGTGGAAATGCTACGTTATCGGTATGTTTCCAGGGTGGAAATGCTACGTTATCGTTATGTTTTCAGGGTGGAAATGCTACGTTATCGTTATGTTTTCAGGGTGGAAATGCCACGTTATCGTTATGTTTTCAGGGTGGAAATGCTACGTTATCGTTATGTTTTCAGGGTGGAAATGTTACGTTATCGTTATGTTTTCAGGGTGGAAATGCTACTTTATCGGTTTCTTTTCAGGGTGGAAATGCTACGTTATCGCTATGTTTTCAGGGTGGAAATGCTACGTTATCGGTTTCTTTTCAGGGTGGAAATGTTACGTTATCGGTATGTTTTCAGGGTGGAAATGCTACGTTATCGGTTTCTTGTCAGGGTGGAAATTGTACGTTATCGGTATGTTTTCAGGATGGAAATGCTACGTTATTGGTATGTTTTCAGGGTGGAAATGCTACGTTATCGATATGTTTTCAGGGTGGAAATGCTACGTTATCGTTATGTTTTCAGGGTGGAAATGCAACTTTATCGGTTTCTTTTCAGGGTGGAAATGCTACGTTATCGGTATGTTTTCAGGGTGGAAATGCTACGTTATCGGTTTCTTTTCAGGGTGGAAATTGTACTGACAACAGTGCTGACTGCGATGAAGGAGTATCGGCAGGCTTGTTCAACAGGAACAGTGCGAATCGCCCCTGCTGAATGTTTCCATGAGACTAAAGTACCTTGGCTGACCTGAGAAAATTTGCTTTCCAGCCGACGGCGAACCAAGCGTCCTGGGCGTATATATATATATATTAATATATATATATATATATATTAATATATATATATATATTAATATATATATATATTAATATATATATATTAATATATATATATTATATATTATATATTATTGTGTATATATATATTATATATATTATATATATATATTATATATTATGTATATATATATTATGTATATATATATATATTATGTATATATATATATTATATTATTGTATATATATATTATGTATATATATATATATATTATATTATTGTATATATATAGAGTATTATTATTATTATTATTTATATATGTATATTTGATCCTGTCCTGTTTGAATATTTTTTTGATGCCTTAAATATTGTTTTTTGATCCTTCACCCGTGAAGAAGGCAGAAGAGATAGCGGACGAACACTGTGTGTACCTTCTCTGCCACTTGTCAACGACGGGTTCGTGGAAGAAATTGTGGTTCTTCCGTCGTCAGGCAGCTCTAAAAAGGGCTTTACAAATGCCCTGGAAACGTGAACTGCAAAAGCAAGGGCACAAGAGCTATGGAGTTGAAGATGCGTACAAGAAATGTTGGCACGGACCCGGCCTGCTCCCCGACTTTGATGATTTTGCGCGCCGCCACAGGCTGATGCAGGATGGGAATGAGACCTATTTTAACAAGACAGTGTGCAAATGCCGCACCGCAAACGACTGCACTTAAGCCGAGGTGTATGGGTGGGCATGGCGCGACCATGGCTCGGCCGCAATGCGGCTGAGGGCGCTTTGCGACGCGAAAAAGAATGGCGGTAAAGTATTTTACTGCTTTATGAATTCGTCAACCATGACTTTGAAGTCAGACAAAACAATTGATTCAAAGGTATCAAGAGTCTTTGTCTTCACTCAAGTCGGCATATTGGCCTTGCTCGTTTTGTTCAATAATTGCAATCATTCATACCTGTTTCTGTGTCCTTTGAGATGATATCTGATATCTTGTCAAATCAGGTCGCCATTTGTCATTATGTTTTCAATGCCATCGTGGTCGCATTTCTGCCACATTTTGGTGCTTGCGTCCAGCGCTTTCGCCAGGTTGCCACCGATCCTCATGAGATTGCTGAGTTTGAAACCACAAAACTGAGGTGCCATGGAAACCACAGGAAACCCTCAAAAAGGCCCATGGTGCTTGATGGTAAACAGCATGGTTTCCGGTGATGTTTTAAACCAACCCGTTGAAGCTGGCCATCTACATTTGCAGTTTTCCTTTGACAAAAATTCAAGTCTTATCCACTTCAAGTTTGCACATTCCCAGATGTTCAATGCCCATCTTTCCGAGCCCATCTCCATTTTTGTTTTTCATTTATTTGCGGGTTTCCTAAGTCATTTTAGACCCCTTAAAACATCCAATTGGGGGCGCGCTGTACCAAAAACGACTGAAAATAAATTGGAATAATAACTTGTGGTTCACTACTTGAGAAACCACTACAATTATGATATAGTTGGTGGTATTCCCTTCTATTGATATCCCCAGTTTTACCCACTTATAATCACTTATACTTATATCCCAAATTCATCCGAGAACAGTTATCCACAATTATGCCATATTATGCCAGTCGAATATGTGAAATACTTACCGCAATAATTATTCACAGCAATGTCAGTTATATCATTGATATCCCAGTGATCTTCCAGTTATCCCCTACTTTCACCAGCAGCTTACCGCAGCTTCCCAGGCCTCTCAGCTCTTACACCGCGCGGCGAACTCGATGCGGGGTCGCTGCACCGTGGATGTGGTGGTCGCCACCACTGGGCAGCGCGGGCAGAGCGGGGTGCGGGAGTTTCATCTGCGAGCGGAGGAGAGAATTCATGGCATGAAGTTGATGTTGCTATAGATATACTCAGTATAATATATATATATATACATTTTCTTATTGTCGAAGGAAGTTTAGAAGTCAAACTTCCGACAATATGGACAGATGAAAAGCAGAGATGGGAAGAGTCAGAGAAGAGAAGAGAAGAAGAAAGAGAAAGTCTCAGAAGAAAGAAGATCCAGGTGCGCGAAAAGGTAGGAAAGTCGCGAAACACTGTGTTTTTCCAATGATTTGAGGCTCCGGAGGGTCGAAAAGTAGGCTCGCTAAAGCGGCGGGTGCGGAGCCATCTGGCCAGATGAGAGATGAAAAAGTGCACGCCGTTGTGGTGCGAAGAACATGTGTAAGTGAAAAAGCTAAAATCACCGCACCTTCGGACCACTTTTGGAAGTTGCGATGTCGAAAAAGTGCACGCCTTCGTGGCGCGAAGCACATTTCGAAGTCAAAATGTACAAAGCACACGAGGGTCGGACCACTTTTGGAGGTTGAGATGTCGAAAAAGTGCACGCCGTTGTGGTGCGAAGCACTTTTTCGAAGTCCAAATGTACAAAGCACTACATGCTCGCGCCACTTTTGGAGGTTCAGATGTCGTTTTGCGTGGCAGGCGCAAGGGATTGTGCACCTCGTCAAAATGGTGCAAAACGTGAGGGTTTTGTCGCATTTCCAAAAACCATGGCAGACGTGGGACATTTGAAGAGTCGAGGATCTGCAAAGATGATCAAAGATGCATTTTCTGTGGTAGGCGCGGTACAAAAGACATGTTCATGAGAGATGCTAGGAGGTCAGGGCGCTGATTTCCTGAGAGGGGTTGCATTTTGGAGCATCAGATCTGTAGGTTTGCTAAGATGATTTTGCGTGACAGGTCCAGCACTTCGTATGACCTGGCATCAATTTTTCGTGGCAGGCGCAGTACTTTAGACAGGTGGAGTGGAAAAATCGCAAAACGCATTGGTACGAGGCTGTCAGCGCTGCACTTAACTTTCTATTTTTGAAGGAAGTCTCGCAGAATTCTTTCGTTTTTGATGTTGTCAACTTCGGAAAATGAGGAGGTCTCGCAGAATTGTTTCGTTTTTGATGTTGTCAACTCTGAAAAATGAAGATGTCTCGCAGAATTGCTTCGTTTTTGACGTTGTCAAGTTCAAACATTGAGGAAGTCTGGCAGAAGTGCTTCGCTTTTGATATTGTCAACTTTGAAACATGAAGAAGTCTCGCAGAATAGCTTCGTTTTCAAGCTTGCAGATAGACAGGTAGATAGATAGACAGACAGACAGACAGAGCGATAGATAGATAGATAGATAGATCGATAGATAGATAGATAGATAGATAGATAGAGAGGCAGCTAGATAGATAGATAGCTAGCTAGCTAGATAGATAGATAGATAGATAGATAGGTAGATAGATAGATAGAGAGGCAGCTAGATAGATAGATAGATAGGTAGATAGATAGATAGATACATAATTAGATAGACATAGATGGATAGATGGATGGATGGATAGATGAATAGATTGATAGATGGATAGATGGAAAGATGGAAAGATGGAAAGATGGAAAGATGGATAGATGGATAGATGGATAGATGGATGGATAGATGGATGGATAGATAGATAGATAGATAGATAGACAGGTAGATACATACATACATAGATAGATAGATAGATAGACAGCCAGATAGATAGATAGACAGATAGATAGACAGATAGATAGACAGACAGACAGACAGATAGATGGCTAGCTAGATAGATAGATAGATAGATAGCTAAGATAAGATAAGATAAGATGAGATGAGATGAGATTAGATGGATGGATAGATAGATAGATAGATAGAGAGGCAGCTAGATAGATAGATAGATAGATAGATAGATAGATAGATAGAGAGGCAGCTAGATAGATAGGTAGATAGATATATAGATAGACAGACAGACAGACAGACAGACAGACGGACGGACGGACGGACGGACAGACAGAGAGACAGACAGACAGACAGACAGACAGACAGACAGACAGAGAGAGACAGAGAGAGATAGATGGATGCAGAGATGGATGCAAAGATGGATAGGTGGGTACGTAGGTAGATAGAAAGAGAAAGAAACAGAAAGAGAGAGAGAGAGAGAGAGAGAGAAGGAGAAGAGATCTCAACCACCTGTCGGTCCATCAGTGGCTTGGCTCTGCCATCCGTGATTCACAACAACCAATCTCTCCTATAGGTTTCCTATTTTTGAAACTTCCGCCACCGCCTTGTGCGGTACTATTGGTATTGAACTGTTATTGTGCAAATCTATGCTTATCTTACTTGTTTTTGTTGTTGTAATTAAATGTAGTAGGGTTACAATCATGATGATTATTCATTCCCCTATGTTTGCCGGGGCCAAAGTTGGAATAAAGATACAGGAGTCATTCTATTCTCATGTAGTTGTTTTTTAACATCCGGGTGACAGCTGCAATTGACGTTTTATATGTGTCTTCCACCTCAGTCGGGAAAAGCTACATCAGCCCTTTGAAAGGTGTGGCAAAAGGTACACGCATTGTTCACCAACAGTGAAGCTAATGGGGTCTTCAGCCCAGAATAGCTTTGGTGTGCACTGGTGCAGGCGCCGGGTCAGGTTCAACGAGGTTCCGGAGAAGTTCCGAAGGTTCCGGAGAAGGTATGGGAGGCTTTGGTGCAGAGCCGGTCAAGTTCAACAGGGTTCCGGAGAAGGTTCCAGAGAAGGTCTGGGAAGCTTTGGTGCAGAGCCAGGCCAGGTCCCAACAAGGTTCCGAAGAAGGTTCTGGTGGCGCTGATCATTTGAAGTTTGCCATCGCTGTCTCAACTCCCGGGAGGCTTTGGTGCAGAGCCAAATCAAGTTCAACAGGGTTCGGGAGGGAGAAGTTTCCGGAGAAGGTCGGGGAGGCTTTGGTGCAGAGTCAGGTTCAACAGGGTTCCGGAGAAGGTCTGGGAGGCTTTGGTGCAGAGCCAGGTCAGGTTTAACAGGGTTCCGGAGAATGTTCCGGTGAAGGTCTGAGAGGTTTTGGTGCAGAGCCAGGTCAGGCTCGACAGGGTTCCGGAGAAGGTTCCGGAAAAGTCTGGGAGGCTTTGGTGCAAAGCCAGGTCAAGTTCAACAGGGTTCCGGAGAAGGTCCTGGAGGCTTTGGTGCAGCCAGGTCAAGTTCAACAGGGTTCCGGAGAAGGTTCCGGAGAAGGCCTGGGAGGCTTTGGTGCAGCCAGGTCAGGTTCAACAGGGTTCCGGAGAAGGTTCCAGCGCAGCACGCTTCAGATAGATTTGTAAAAATAAAGCGTTGCGGCTGTTGGGGATACCACCGAAGTTATCCGAAATTTATTTTCTAGGGAGTCCATCCTTCCAGGACGAGCAGAAAGATCGCGAAGATTCGCATGTGGAAACTTTTCAGATCCGAAGATCGTCTCTGAGCATCCAAGACGCAGCGACGCTGCAATGGGGAGCTGAACTGGAGAGCTGCTGGGAGGAGTGTCAGAGGCCGACGGATGGGCTGAAGCTCAAAGATTCAAGGGATGAACGGAGATTTGTTTTTTTCACTGCTGGGGGTTGTTCAAACCCATTGTAGGTATATAAATGGTTGCCACAAACAAGAGGAGATTCGTGATTTACCTTGAGATTGAACCAATTTTCTCCTCCCTAGTATCTGTATCTGGGGTGTTGGCAGCAACCTGAATTCCGGCAGGCTGTACTGTATCGACTGAAAGATGATAACTTGATACTGTTTTGATGATGCTTCATATTGGTTTGACCAAAAATGGTGTGTGTGTGTGTGCGTGCCTCAATTTACAGCAAATGGTAAAACATCATGATAGTCGTAGAATTCTGGCTATGTTTTCAGCTGGAAGTGTATCCCAAAGCCTTGAAAAGGTGAGACACTGTCCATCAGCAAGACCAGGCGGCTACCAGAAGAGTTACCTGTGCCCGGAAGAACACAAGTGGTTGACTTGTCGGACGAAGACTGCTGTGTGCTGGACTGATGCTGCCGAGATGTGAGGAAAAAAATGGGAGGACATCATTCGAATGCGTGCATCCATTCACCTGACCAGCAGTTTGGCAGTCCTTGCACCAGCACTGGATTCTGGATTCTTGGAAAGTGGTTTGTGGCGCCCAAACCATGAGAGAATATAGGAGAAGGATGCGTTGGATATGCTGCTACCTGGGACACCTCAAGAGTTGCATGCGGCGATCTCCCAATGCGGGCTGGGGCTGGATGAGCTGGATGTAACAACTTGGAAGTTGATGGGTATCAAATCTATTCCAATATGAAAAATATGTGGACGGTATTACCTGATTTTGACTTCACTGAGAATGTGAATGGCAGCTCCAACAGCCATTCGAGCACTTAAGCTGCGAGAAAAATATTATGGCCAGGTGGTCGATAGCTTGCAGAGAACACGGAACAGGCACCCAGTTTATTGACTGAAAATGTCTGATTTATCCGGAGATCTGGTAGATTTGAACATTGTGCATAGACTCAAAGATTGTGTCACACTGGTCCGGTTTCAACCATTTCTATTTGCAACAAAACACAGTTCGAATCTTCCGGACATTTCAGGGCCACCACCCGGACCTTGAACTGTGGTGTTCATGGCTTAAGCGCAGCAACGGCTTGCAGCGGGGTGACGGCACCGCAGTGGAGGATTTTCCAGAATGTTGTTTGGACCTCAGAAGTTGCGGAAACTGAGCAGCGGGAAAAACCGTGGAAGCTATGGAAAAAAACACATGATTGTTGTTGTTCTTGATTGGGGTTGATGTGGGGTGATGATGAAAACAAAGCTAAACATTTTGCAATCAAGTCTCCGTTGAACCGTGCGACAAAGGGACTGCTGTAAGTAGCAACTGCCCAGAGAACCCATCATGAGACCTGCTTAGAGAGGTATGCACAGATGTTGAATGATGTGGATGCCAGATATACCAGGACCCGTTACCCATACTACACACTACGGGGAGGTAAATCATTGCTTCACCTGCTCTCATTTGAGGCCCTATTATTTGATGATATTGCCATCGTGCCTTGCCTCAGCGCAGCTTCGAGACTTTCTGAAGACATCATGCCATCACCATTGCCAGGACATGACAAGAAGTCACTCAGACCTTCAGTTTTTGCCAGCTCTCTTGGAAAGGTGGATATGTTTGGCTATCCTGTTGCCCTTGGTTTGTGGCCCTAGTGGTTTCAGAGGGCATGGAGAGGAAGTCGGGATGTGGTGAGCGTTGGCATTTTTCGTTGCAGCCTTTACTGTCATCAGAGGATTATCTATGAATCTATGACTGTCATCAGAGGATCATCTATGCAATACAATCAATACATGGTTCTGGGGCTATAGAGGGGTTGACGATTGCGGTCGATTTCTGAATTTGAATTCCTTCAAATTGTATGGCAATGCTGAGGTACAGACTTTTCATGCTCTGCAACATGAAAGCGCTGATCGAAAACTATGGTGGGGCCAGTCACGGTGTGATCAGATGCTATTTATGTCAGTAAGATGACCCAAAATGGGGTTCACAACAAAAACAGGCGAGATTGATGCGAACAAATATTCCAAAAGAGTGTGACATTGCAATTCAACATCGGTTGTTTGATTTTTTACAATTATATACACTCTTATTTCATTAGATCTCATAGCACTTTTTTGAAGTCGGTTCATCGTGATTTTTGCGCCGTTTCGAATCGTTTGACAGTCGCATGACACACTTCATCTCTGGACCAGGAAGATATCGATCAGCCTAGCAGTTTTTTTCGATTGATAAATGATGATAAATGAACGATGATAAATGCAGGTCACAGTCTCACCGTTTTAGAAAGAATCCAAGTCTCAACAGGGCATGATCACCAGACCCTCGGCGAGAGACGGCCAGGCTCTTTTATTGGTGCCTCTATTGTGTAGCGTTGGGAGCCTCATTGTCCAAAAGAAGCATTGAGAACACAGGAAGACACAGGAAGGGTAATCACAACAGCTATCACAAAAGCTATGACAGTTTTTCAGCTCACGTACTTGTATGATCTCATGAAGTGATGTTGTTGAGGTCGATCTTCCTGTACTACTTCGAGTGGCTGATTTGCATACCCTTCTATGTCGCTCGCTGAGTGCTAGCTTCCAATAAAGCACCTGTCCAGCTCAGGAGGTCGGAACCAGCCCATTTTCCAAAACTGAAGAAACCTGAAGAACCTGTGGCTCTCTACCTGTGGCTTGAAACAATTCTGATTTTATGTGGCTTGAAGTTGGTTAATGATCGTGTACTTGCTGCAAGACCGGCATTAAAAAATCGGACTGACATGTGTACATGATGAATTCATGATGGGATCAGCTGGTCCTCGAAACCTTATATACATGAACATGGATTGGATATGGCAACACACAACCACAATTTGGATCCATACGAAAATTCATGGGCAGATTACAATAGATTACATGATGTATCATGATGTAAAATATATCCCCGTTTGGATTTCCTCTACGTTTTGAGGGGGCTTGGGTCCCGCATAAAGCTGAAAAAATTAGCTGTTTTATAGAGAAAAACGGGGTTGGTTCCCCAGTCATTGTAGACAAATAGTGGTATGTATAAATCATGTTGGATGCATTAGCTTTTTATAGAGAGGTCATTTTGGAGCAGTTTTTCGGTCATGTAAAAATGCAATCAGCTTTTTGTAGAGGGCTCTATTTTGAGGCTTGAGCAGCCATGTCAGGCTTGCACAAGTAGCCGACACGAGGATTAAAAAAGGATTTATACATTAAAGCCTTCTTTCTCTACAAAACGCCCAAGGTTCGAAGGGACCCAACCTCCTGATAGCACAGAATCCTCTACAGAAAGGATAGGGGAAAATCCAGTTAGATTATTGATGGTGCTTTGAAGTTAACCATGTGGGTTGAGCAACCTTCTTGTAGAGCTGATTTAGCTCGGTTCTTGGCATGGTGCCTAGAGTTGGCACTAGCTTTTTGTAGTCCCAAGGTTTTTGCAGGTGATTGCTTTTTGTAGACACTGGGGTTGGTCCCTAGTGATTTGTAACTACGCAGAGGGGGGTCCAACCCCTCCCCCCTAATTCAAACGAGTATTAAAATATGCCATCCCCGCAACCAAGACATACATACAACCTCAGAATCGCACATTTTTAGGTTGGAAGGGTGTCTTCCAACCCCCAATACATCCCAATACTGCCAGGGGTCAAGTCAACTCCGCCCTATTGAAGTGAAAGGTTATTGACTCGCTTGTCATGGTGTTCTCCTTGATAGGCTTTTCACCTGCCCGAGGTGATTTCCTTCTACGTAGACATCTATTATGAGACGCAGCTTCTAGCCGTGCTCTCAAGTTTGCATTTGTTTCCTCGAAAACCTGAGCAGTGGCATGCAGTAGCTCACAAAAATATACAAAAAATACAATTTTGCTTCTGGTTTTTGGGAATGTAAGGGTATTTCAACGGGATTCATCACTAGAGATGCTCAGAATCAGTATGATATACCTATGATCAGAATCACAGTACAGCACGCTACGATGCTGTTCGTATCCTAGCAGTACCGTCTGTCACTTGCACAACAGGGCGTTGCTGGAAAGCAGGTGATCTTCTGGTTGGTGTATCCAAAAACCTTGGGCATCAAGAATCTCCAGGCCTTTGGATGTGTTGCTGATTGAAAGCGTTTGCTGTGCTTATACAATCTTGAATCAACCTCGCCTATCTTTTATCCTACCCTGCCCACAATGGACCTTGTGCGGAAAACCCTACATCATAAGAAACCACCAAAGGCAATTTAGGAGAAATCTTTCTACATGACATGAACGGAACATAATGTTCCTTGAGATGTTAGATACTAAGTGTGGTTTTATTAGATGCAATGACTGTATCAAAATGCTGAAGGTAATAGAAGTAGAAGAAGAATAAGAAGAAGAGACACCAGACCAACACATAAGAGACCACGATTGCATTCAGTATCCATTTGGTGCTAAAGCATACTATTACACTAGTTTAAATGCCTTCCCGTCCCAAGTTGAAATATTAGATATAATTGATTGTGAAAAAAGTATATGATGAATGGCGCCACAGCAAATTGGAAAGATTATAAAATGGACTTGAAGATTATGAAACATATATAACTGGAAAAATGACATTTATATAATAATGACTATGGCCAAGACATGAAAATAGCTTATGAAGAATTGAATGTGTTATTTTCAGATTTCATTAAGATTTGAAGCTATATTGATAATCAACAAATTGTTAAGCATAATATTCTATATGGTGAAGGTTTTGGAATGGATATTGCCGATGACTTGAATGAAATATTTTTCAATGACAGTGATTGAAAGCGAATATTGTGAAGATTAAAAGCATATATCTCATAATTTGATTTATTAGGTTTATGATTCAGTATTAAATAATGTTAAATATTTGGTGTTGTAAAAAAAAAACTATTTGAAGAAAAACTACCTTATATATATTGATAGGATATGGATATGGATGATACCAGAATGTGTACCAGATGTAATAAATCTAAAGACGATTGAGAATCCAGGAGAGAATAAGAATTGTAATAGATGCCTTGAAATTAGGTATGAATATAGAATAAACAATCCTGATCAAGTGAAAGAAACACGAGGAACAACATATTTCTGTCAAGTATGCGACTATGATATTCAATGGTGTCATAAAGCCGAACACGAAAAAAAACATTTCATCAGAAAAAAAATGAAAACAAATTAACCCAGAAGAATTTGAAAATGATGACAAACCAGACAGGATATATTATATATTTTGACAATGAGGGAAGAACAGTTTATAGCTGTACTGCTTGTAAATGTCCTAAAATTCTACCTTATCATTGGAGACCACATAAGAAGAGAAACACATATGCACAACAAAGCAGGTAAACTACCTTTCAGGAGAACATGAAATAAAACTAACCCTATAGTTTTAGATACTAAGATATTATCTAAATTTACGTTGATTTACCCCTATTTCTAATGGTCAGTTTCTATTAAAACTATGTTGCAAAATACTTTTTCTAGTAAACTATTGTTTTAAAGATATGTTATAATGTTTTATAGTATAGCCTCGCCTGTTTGTCTTTCGTAAGGGTTATTTCCTCTGATCACTTGATGATATTATATTATAAATTGGTTAAGGGTGCCTGAGGGCGCTGTAGGATAAAAGATAGGCGAGTTTGATTCTAACTATATCATATACTGTGTATAACTATACATATATATATATAACATATTTCACTGGAAACTGCTAAGAAGATATGGTTCCATTGCAACGTGATCGCAGGCGTTGGTGGAAACACAAAGCCAGACAGTTTGGGCCTCCAGCTCTGGGGCAAATTTCAACATGTTGCTGTTGATTGCAATGCTATTTCTTCACAAAACTTGAAACATGAAGTCTTCCCCACGGGCCTGAAACTGAAACTTTGTCGATATCTCAGATTCTGACTGGAAGACTAAGACATTCAGCACTGCCACATCTGCTAGCCAAACTAAGCACCATCCATTTTCGCGACGTCCTGCCAGATCCTTGAAGGGGGCACCGAGATTGTGAAGGTTCGGAAGAGAGTCTTTCAGTTTGTCGATGCTTTGTGAAGAGGTGGACTGTTTTTCCAGGTGCAACAAAAACTGCCTCATCGAATCGAACCACATTCCCTTCCAGGTTTGTTTGTTTAGTCATCACAAGTCATCACAAGTCATCACAAGTCATCACAAGTCATCACAAGTCATCACAAGTCCCATGGTTCAGCAACGTTGTCCCATGGTAAACTGCTCATTTGGTCTACTGGGAAAGTACCCAGTTTTCGCGCAGGGCTATGCCAAGATTGCCTACGGGCAGTGGCTTGGAGGAAAAGGGCCAGGTCCCATCGACCCCCAGTGACCCCCAGTGACCCCCAGTGACCCCCAGTGACCCCCAGTATCTATTGGTAAATCCCGCAGTTTGCGCTCAGACATCCATCAGTTGCACGTTTAGGTTCTTGGAGCTCACGGGGCGATCCTGATGGTTTGGGTGAATTGGGAGGCTTGGGAAGGGAAGGAATGACTGTGGTATATACTGTGGTCAATTTCATGTGATTTCCCCATTTGTTCAAGCAATTCCCATCTACAGGGGCTGTGATAATCCACGAGCTCGTCAGTAGCATGGGTGGTGTAGATTGCCATTCCTCACACTCCCACCTCAACCTGGCGCAGTGTCAGGGAGTTGCCTGAGAAAACTGCAGACAGGCCGCCACTTGTTTCGCCTATGGTGACCAAAACACCAGGAAGGGTCATAAACAATCCATCAACTCACCCGCACTCTCCTGCAAGGGCCAGACATGATCAAACACGCAAGCAGCCCAATGCCCTCAAAAAATAATCTGTAGTTAGTTGATTGGACAGCAGATGTTTCACCACGGACAGTGCATTCGCAGTTCATAAAAGCGCTTTCCAAACCATCTGGAAATCCTCTGGAAATCCTTTGGAAATGATTTGGGTGTCTACCCAATAGCCCCAGGAAAGACATCATACGGATTCATACTGTAAATGCAAAACTATTGCTACCATTGGAAGTGCGTTTGCAATGGTTCTTGTTTGTTCTTTCGTTGCTGGACTCAAAGCTTCTTGTCCCCTTCAATAGGGCCGTTCAATAGGGACAGTCGGAAACTCATTGGTGGCATCCAAATGCGCTCGCTGTAGAGCTTCGTGGGCAAAGAATGATCATGCATTGCACATCATTGCACATCATGAAGGTGGAAAGACATAGATTCGCATCAAAAACCATGGAACTGGTTGGTGGTTTGGAACAGTTTTTCTAATTTTCCATATGTTTTTCCATATATTGGGAATTTCATAATCCCAACTGACGAACTCATATGTTTCAGAGGGGTGGCTCAACCACCAACCAGAAAATCATTAACATCCTTCCGGCCGGATGGGCGCATGTGACTCAAAGGCTGCCAGTGGAGGAGCAAAGCCACAGAGAAATCACCCAAATCTGCCCAGTGTGGCAAACCATGATAAACCCAACAATAAACCATCCATACAAATGTAATTACATATATACAAATATATATGAACATATATATATACATATATATACATATGTATATACATATACATATGTATATACATATACATACATATGTATATACATATACATATGTATATACATATACATACATAAATATACAGTATATATATAAATACACCAATTATATACCCAATAATAAAAATAAACCTCTATATTGGGGTTTGTTTATCTCCTGGGTTTACCACATAATTCTTCCTTCGATTCCCGGGTTAACAGATCAGCAGGAGTCCGGGCTGCGAAGCCCAAGGCAAAGAAGGTGGGTACCAGTTGGTAGTTCAATACTTTGCTGCTGAAAATCGCCATTTGGATGCGCTGGATAGGTATCTAAATCATCCAAGGGTGAGCCATTTTCCATATGTTGAATTACCTGAGGCGATTTTTCGAGTTTTGTGGACGATACTTTTGGTTGGATTTGGTTGGTACAATCAATAAACACATCCTCTTCAGCCAGGCACCAAGAGAAAGACAAAAGCTGGACATTGCAGATACTTTGCGTTGAAGATAGCTGGGAAACTAACAGTTTGCTATGGAAAATAACAATTTTAATAGGTAAATCAACTATAAACGGGCCATTCTTCGCTTACCAGAGGGTAATCAAGAAGACGTGCAAGATGGAGAAAGTTTTTCACATGCAGACAACAAGGACTTCTTCATTCCTAGGAACCGAGTGAAACCAAAATCAGCCATGGCAATTAACCCCACGGATCGCCTCACTGGGCATGTGGACTGTGACTATGCCGATGTATGCAGTCAGGCGGTATCAGGCGGTTGAGGTAATGATGCGCACAACACGTATTTATAAATACATGCAATGATAAGATGTTAACTCACTGCAACTGCTTGTTTCTGTTTGTACAGCACAAGAGGGAGCTTTGCTTCACCTGGGATGCACGAAAAGTGAACGTGCTGCTGAGGATTACACATTTTCAAAGAGAACTGATGAAGTGCTCATCAAGCAGGTGGGTGATGTGTGAAATTCATTGTTTGTGCTATTTTGGAAACAAGATTTGACCGGGGCTTGGGGATAAAATTACGCAGCGGAGATCTTGAAAAGATTGTGATCGCCCTACATGCGTGATGTTGTGAATAGCTGTGCAAATCTCCATGGCGAACTGCAGGAAGGAAGCATCGATGGCCAGCAGTTCAACATTGAAGAATGCTGCTTGCACCAAATAATGTTATATGTGGTTCTTACCATGTGTTCTGCAGACCTCGGAAACTTGATAAGACGTTATGAATATATAGGGGCTGGGACCATTTTCTGGGGAGCATGAGCATCATCCGGCTGTACCAGCACAGCTGTTCTGGTGTGAAATACATGACCCATATCCAGAGTCATGGTGACGTCAAGATTGTGATTCTTATTTGAGGCAAAAATTGCGACATCTTCTTGCTGGAACCTCGCCCGCCAAGCCGTGCTAGGACATCTTTGTTAGTGCTCCCATTTTGTGCACAGAAATACATGGTCGTATGATGTCGTGTGATTCGTTGTAAGAAGAATGGTGGATGCTGGAAGTTACGCAGATGGAATGTGCATATTGCTGATTGTTTGACATTTCTGCTGGTGGAAAGAAGCAGCACTTCCCGGGAATGATACAGGTATGGTAAATCATTGTATCATAAGGGGTTGCAGGTCGATAGATGGCCCCCCCCTTAGCTCACTAAGGTTTGCGGGTCTCCCTGGCAAATAGACTAATCCACACCAACTAAGCCTACCTCAGGTGGAGTCGTGCCAACAGTTGGCTTTCCATTTCAGATGGAATGCACAACTCCTTGTGATAAGACAGACGTTTCCAGAATCATTCCCTTACAATTTTCACATATTTTCGGTCAGACCTGTGGGAGAGATACAGTGGGTCACATCCAGTGGCTCTTGTCGTTGATCGCCGGTTTGTTGTTCTTTGCCTCAGATCGCCACAAATCCAAGGACTACGTTGCCACCAGCTTCGTTGATGACTGCCAGAACTGCTCGGAAGCCCCAGAACCGGGCGACTGCCGGCAGAACCGGGATGGGACCCGCCTCGGCGCATATATGGAGGGATGAAGACAATAATAACACGAACCATCATGGATAGTCTTTTTGTGTCTTTTTAGAATATGGATGAACATGGTCCATATATGTCCATATTGTCAATATTGTAAATGTATATTATTCCGATTCCATATAATTATTCCTTGCATGTATTCATTGCATATTCATATCGTCTATCAGATGAATGGGATGAATCATGGACTCATGGCGTTGTGTCACCATGCTGGGTATATCCCCACTTCTCATGTGTCATAATTCATATATATAATTATATTGTTTGGGAATATAAATAAATCGATGTATATAAGTATGCTTATATAAATATCATTATCAATGATATTTTATATCATATCATTACTAGTATGATTATTATTGCTATTATTATTGTTATTATTTGTTGTTGTTATTATTATTATTTGTTATTATTATTATATAATATATATATATATATGTATCCCGTCATGATATTTTATGTGTTCATATATCAACCCAGCACTGGACGCCGCTCGCCGCTCGCCTTCACTTCACGCCGGGATTGCGGATCTCCGACCGCGCCAGGTCGGATCTTCATCGGTCCCGTGGAGAGCAGCGTCTTCGTGCGCAATTGCACGTCATGCAGCGGCCAAGCCGCAGAAGTACGGAAAACACCGGTGGTTTGACCGTTTGATTTTTCTGTGGGGATGCACCATGATGCACCATGATGCAATCATGTTTCTACGGAAAATGGGATAGTTCAGTAGTGAGATCGTCATACCCCCTGGTATTCAAAATTCTCACCGCTTCTTGGAAAAAATCATTCGCCTTTCAGTATCTGGATGATGCTGGATGATGTTTTTTGATGATGGGAATTCTGGGGAATCATCCTCATAGCTGGCCAGCTGGGAGTTTTTCTGCGCTGAGGCTTGGTCATAGCATGCTGGGGCCTGAGACTGCAGCTGGTGAAGATGCAGAAAACCTGGAGATGTCTTGGGTTTTTGATGGTTTTTGGAGTTTGATGGACATTTTGATGGCATTTGTACCAATAGTACTGTACCAGGTCCCATCATTTGCTGCGGGTCTTCCCCCCCAACAGCAGGAAACTCCGTCAACCATTGTCCGGACTCCTGACAAGGTCAACAGTATCGCTGCCGTGATTGCAAGGACGCGGAATGTCACCCATACTTTTTTCAATCAGCAATCCTATTGATTGATAACTAATTGATACTAATTGATAAGTGATAAATAGCAAATACAATTATTGTTGAATATTGTTGATACACTGACCTATTTGTAATCACTGTTATGTTAGATTCACCTTGATTGATAGGGCAAACGCAAAGTTGTTGCAGTTTGGTGCAGTCTCTTGTGTTTAGTAAACTCCATCTCTCCGCAAGGTTGGGTGATGCTGGAATCACATATTCGGCATTCACCAGCGAGGGTCCAGGATATTTCCACTGGTTGAAGGAAATTCCTTTCGACATCCTTCCACCCACGGTTTCTGGAGGATTGCAAGCTAGCGCTCTTCTCAGGTACAGAGCCCATCATTGAGAACTTCGGTGGCACCAATTGGGTAGCTAGCGAGAAGGTGGCAGTAATCCATCCCTTTTTTGGCGAAACGACCTAGTGGAATTTTGGGGATGATTTGATATGATTTGTCTTAAGTTTTCTCTTCATTTTGGGGGTGCCATTCAGAATGGGTTCTACATAGACCAAGAATGGGCCATGGGCCATGACGGTGAAGATATGGTGTCCTGAGTTCACCTGTACCTATGCTCGTTGAAATCAGTCCTGGATGGTCAAGACATTTGTTCCAACCAAAAAACAGAATCGGGATAGTCACAGCTGGGAAACAATCACAATGCCCTCAGATATCTTAGATATTTCTTAGATCAAATTGAAAGTTGGTGATTTCTTAAACCTCATCCAGACTAAGTGGTTGACATTTACAGTGCTTACAACTCCAGCTCAGGAGTAGCCAGAACATGGCCTTCGCCTGCTTTGACTTCAATTACTTCTCCTTGCGTGGTCAAATGGCGAACGCCGGATTGAAGCCCTGGAACAACAAGTGGTGGATGGTCTATGTTCCTTGGTGTTGCAAGGCTATGCAAGGCGTGCTGAGGCTTCACCAGCAAGGGATTCTAAAATATGTTGTAACTTATTGTAAATTAATTTGATTAATGTGATAAAACATTACATATTTCAAGAATTTTATGTCGTTTAATTATTTATATAAATTTAAGTGATAGTTGATGGGCTCATAGTGAGAAAAAGTGAGAACAATCAGGGTGCTGTGTTTTGTTTTTGTCATGTCATGAGCTTAGAATCAATTTTGGACTCTAAGGACTTCAACAAGAACGAAGAGAAACCGAACTGGAGTTTGCTGCCTCAAGAGGAGCTATGGTCGACCCCAGCGATGTCTGAAGTGGTTGGACTCTCGAGGAGGTAACTAGAAAACAAAATGAAAAAAACATCAAGAAGGAGAATTGCAGGGTGTGCACGTCATATGTTCATATGTTTTATATTATTACATATACGATCATATACGTATATATATATATATGTGTTCTTGTAATTCTTATTTGACAAATCTCTATACATATATATGTATATATATATATCTTTTTACAGGAACATTAATCTAATCATATCTAATCCATCTTTCCATGGATTTACTGATGGCTCTAGGAGGCCAGCAGCCTTTTGAAGATCGAGAACTGCCACGGCCTCATAACGCCTGAGGAGTTGGAGAATGAAAGTGCCGAAAAATGGGAGGATTCAGATGGAGGGCTCCTAAGTCATGGGCTACCCCAATAGCTAGATGGTTTATAGTGGAACATCATAGAAAACCCCATGAAACCCGCATCAATTGCGGGGTTTCTAAGTCATGGGGGTACGAAAAAAATCATCCAAGTCCTTAGACTATTGAAACCCTTGGTGACTTGGAGATCATTTTAAGACCCCCCAGTCATAGGATAGAACATACCTCTGAAGAACTCCTGGTGGCACATTGAAATCGGCATCTTTTGTTGGACCTTAAAAACATATGTAAACATATATATATAAACAACTATCTATATAGATCCAAGATATGAGATATATTGCATGACATTACTTAACAAGTTTGATGCAACCCTGAGGTTGCTCCGCGCCAGAATTGTGGAAGGGTGAAATGCCATGTCGGTGGACTTTCGATATGTAGATGTATATGTGATCCATCATCATCATCATCATCATCATCATCATCATCATCATCATCATCATCATCATCATTCCTTACGAAGATAAGTTGATGCTATTATCAGATTCAGCATGTTTGTCAAAGAGGGCGGTGGATTTGTTGATCCCTTATGAAGATAAGTTGATGCTATTAATTTCCTTATTAAACATATTTGTCAGAGGATGTGTTGATCCCTTCTGAAGATACGTTGATGTGATTACCCCATTTAACATATTTGTCAGAGGGGTGGTGGTGGATTTTTGATCACTTGTGAAGATAAGTTGATGTGATTAAACCATTTAGCATATTTGTCATAGGGCCGGCGGAATTATGATCCCTTATGAATATAAGATAAAACATATAAGTTGATGGTATTATCCCATTCCATGTGAGTTGACACTGGTGATGCTTTTTTCAGTGCGGAGTAACGTCCGGGTTGGACGGAACAAGTTTTTAGGGATGAAGAACTTGGATGGGCAAAAGACCGGAAGCAACCCAATTCAGTGGATGGGGGTTTACTATATAGAATACCCTCTGGTAATTTGTTACATAGCTATTGAAAATGGCCATTTATAGTGGATTTCCCATTAAAAATGGTGATTTTCCATTGCTATGTTAGTTTACCAGAGGGTATCAATGAATATCATTGAACTGTTGGAAGGTGAAGTGATAGTGCATTGTCCTTAAGAGTCATAGAGGACTGGAGGGGGTCACTTCAGAGCATTTATATTGCGACCAAAGGTGTCTGTGTCACGATGGTTGAAAGTCCTAAATGAATAAGTCATGGAACTAATTCAAAGGATACCTTGAAAATCAGAAACCAAGTGCGGCAGGTGTTGTTCCCATCACCCTGGGCAGCAGACCTTGGCCGTCGAAGGTGTGGGATGGCTCCAGATTTTCTTTTGGATGGAGATTCCAGGATCTTCAATACCTTGGGTCACTGGGTATTATTTGCAGAGTTTTTGACCGATCTTGAAGTCATGACCCGAGTGCTGAAACAGGAGACGTGCTTCATCGTTTTCTTACCAGATTCAGAGCCTTTGATTGAGGCCGGAAGAACGGTTCCTTGCCTTCTGAAAATTCCACTGAGCAGAACCTGTAGCCTGGAGGAAACCACATGACCGCGGACAAATGCCGAATGTTTGCATCCCTCTCCTTTGACTCGGTGTTACGGACGCGCGAAGCCGCAGATTGAAATTTTGCAGGCGTTTCTCTCCAAAGCTTTAGCCTCCAAATGGGCAATCTGCCGGACACGAGTGGTGCGGTTACAGGCTGGGCATTGAATTCATGCAGAATTGTTGGTTTGTTGGGGATCTCTTTGGCGATATTGGTCATGTTTCTATAATATTTGATGATCTAATGATATTGGTTAATAAATGATAATGTGTGTTAATATACGATTAAATTATGGGTATTCTTCATTCTAGCTATATTATTATTATACATATATACATATATATGATTATACATATTATATATACAGTTGTTATTATTATTATTACTGCTGTTACTGTTATTATTATCGTTATTATTGTTGTTATGTATTACTATTATTATTAATTATTATCATAATATATATATATATATTGGACCAGGAATCACTTGAAGTATTCGGACAGAGAGATGATCATGGTTCTTCGAATTTGATTCAATTCATTCTGTAAGAGGGGCAAGGTGTAGAACGTTATATCCCAGCGATTCCCAGCTCATAAAATGGATTTACCTTCCCAGAATTGGATGGTTGCAACATCTGCAGCATACCCTTAATTTTTCTTTTTGGGATTGATAAAAGCTATGGTTTTCTGTGACAAAGTTTTCATTTGGATGGCCTCCAATATGCATGGTGACCCTAGATGCTCCACAGTATGCGCCGCTGGATGTCAGGATCTTGTTTGAAAAACATCATACGGACTTAATTCTGCTATTAGACGTTGAAACTCTTCTACCTCCCTCCCAAACATCATGTCTCGGTGTTTGTTTTTTCACGCTCAATTCACTATGAATTCATACTCAGTGGAGGACGTAAGACTATGGCTGTACTACCATGAGTTTTACCATGCAAACATTTTCCAAACATCATCCAAGAGTCATTAAACAGTTACCTTTTGGTTATCAAGCATGGTAATGCAACTTCCTCATTTAGTTTGTTCATCGCATTTACATTGTTTTGTTATGTTTTTTTGTTGTCATGTTTGATATAAGAATGGCAATATAGATGTTTTGCATTATATATATAGGTGATTCACTTACATCAAACATATTCAAAGATGTTTAAGAGTGCTAAACGAATCCATCATAGCCATGTGAAATTATCGAATGATCCGCTGACCTCCATACAGATCATCACCCCAGCAGGAAGAGCAGCTGAAGACCTTATTTGCCTGGGCCAAAGAGCCCAAGCTGGTGCTCCGATGCAAAGGCTGCGAAGTCGTGGGAATGCAGGCGCTGAAATCCACGGGGGCGAGATTCGATGCTCCGAAAACACATGGTTCTTTTGAAATATTCACAGCATAAATTAATACATTACATACATACATACATACATATATATATATATATTATACATGAATTTAGATAAACATGTAGTTTTTTCATTCACATCATTGTCCAAAAAATCATCACGACTCGGCGCCACATGGTGGCACCTTGGTGAAGCCTTGGTGAAGCTGTCACAGGTCTGTGGTGACCACATCCAAAAGCAGGTCCAGGCAGCACAGGGCCTCACCCAAATTCCCAAATTTTGTGGAGAAAAATATGGTAAAATCATCTCTGACACGTGGATGAATCAGACAACTGATATTGGTTTGTTTTGTTTTTCCAGTGTTTCAAAAGTTAGTTTCTTTCTTTGCCAACTCATTTTGAGCATATATCATATGCTTACTGACATATATATATATTTATGATATAGGTGTATATATATATATATATGATATAGATACATATAGTATATCTATGGTGATATCTCCATATATGTATTGATCAAAATCACCAACCATATACATATAGAACAGTTTATATAGATAGATAAATATATGATATTGGCGATCAAGATTTGCTAAACTGTTCTTGTCTTCATGGTGTTGATGGATTGACTGCGCAGGATACCTTGGCGTTGACTGGCCTGGCCACGGGCGCTAAGAACATTCGCGTGGTGCCAGACAAGGAGAGGGTCGGCAGTCCCTGATTTCAGGGAGGTTTTATGTGGAGTTTTAGGATTTGTTAGGTCATTTTTTGTTGGGGACTCAACTCAATGTTTGAGACGTTAAGTTGAAAGTTGGAATCCGTGCTGTAGCATTTCAGACACTCTGAGGACCTAGGCACGAGTTGTCGTTGTTTTCGTGTGAGGGATGATGAGAACTAATTGCAAGACTGCGACAACTACACTTAAAGGCCACAAGTTACCCTCTGGTAAACTAACATAGCTATGGAAAATCACCATTTTTAATGGGAAAACTCACTATAAATGGCCATTTTCAATAGCTATGTTAAATTACCAGAGGGTATAAACCCAAAGGTGAACCAACACTTTCATGGGTCATTTCGCCCGCTGACGTCAGATCACTACCCACCAGGACACTGACACACTGGCAACGCACTTCTTTCAGACTTGGAAGGATGAGGCGCAGCACTGAGTGGTGGCTACAGCCACCTTCCCGTATCACTTTTAAACCTTCCGTTGCATCAGTTGGCCGAGAGAATCCGAGAGAGGGAGTTTGCAACATTTCAACATGTCCATTCTTTTCCGATTCATTTGCATGTCACGCATGTGAATTCCATCAAACGTTGGCTGGTATACCACTATTATACCTTTATTGGGGAATGGTCATCAGTCTATTGTCATATAGAAATTTCTATACCGGGATAGATGACCATTCATCCCGTGCTCTGAGGTATAGGGCCCCATCTCGAAGACCGAGCGGGGGCACCACGATCAGAACCATGGCAAGACAGAAAAAGGCATGAGCCAAGAGGATATGCAAAGATATGCCAAGATATATTTACATATATATATACAATTATATACATATAGATATAGATACATGTAAGATATATGATACATAAAAGAAAGAGAGAGAGAGAGAGAGGGAGACATGTTCTTTTCATCCCGACAAGTCCATTGATATTTGGCTGAGCCGGACCCACCACATTTGGACACTTGGCTGGCTCATAGATTCTGTCTCACCATGCTGCAGGCATTCCACTTGAACTTCCAATTTTATATGTTAGGTCCCCAGCAATGGTGCCAGCCTGCTTGGGAATGCGTCAAACTGGCACCAGCAACCTGCATTCATCGCTGAGAAGGGTGAAGTATTTCCGTTTTGACACAAGCCACATTTGACTTCCACTAGCCGTGGTACTCTGTGAGTACGGCAGTGTGCTTAATTTGTGCAACAACCGAGGGGGGTGTCTTTGGGACTGACAGGAAAGTTGAATATTCTTAGACATGTAACGTCTGCACGAAATTTGAAAGCCAGAACCGGATAACTCCATGGCAAGACAGCACTACAAGCCATAGTAGAATCAGCCACAGCTGAAGCGAAACTTACCAAATCCGACATGGTGCGGTAATCGTTTGGAGCCGGGTTTGAGCCATGTCGAAGGTTGCTTGGCACCAAATAGTATTGCCATTTTTAGACCCCAGGTGACTGTGATGACATCGACAAAATACATCAAAATACAATAGTTCGCTATATCGCTATAGGCTGCATACTAGAAGTTTCAAATTGTTTTCCACACAATTTATGTTTAGCTTGCGATGCAACTTGATCCCGCTTCCACGCCAGACCCCATACACGATGTTGTTATCTTAAAGCGGAGAAACTGCCCGGTGCAGGCACTAATTCAAGCCAATGTGAATGAATGGATACGTATTTGAATGATAACAAGAGGTTTGTGATTGATATGTTGATACATGTTCATTCATGTTCATTCATGTTCATCACAGGGAAAATGAGATCAGCGACTTCCTTGGGGATATCTCCAGTCCATCCAAGGTGACGAATGTGGATTTGGATGATGACGCCGTATCGGACGACGAGGTTTTGGCTGCCAGCAATGGTGTCAACGGTGACGTGAGCGGTGCCAACGGTGACGCCACCATGGGGGATGCGCCGTTGGCCGCGGGTGATGCGCCGCCGCAAAGCGACCTGCGGGTGGCTTTGGCGGGATGGGGAAAAAGTTGGTGACACCTAACTATACTTCTTATATAAAAATTGATCATAAACCCTAATTGTTAGTATTGAGGTACATTAAAGCCTAATTTAGTTAATCGATGTCGATCGTTATTTTTAAATATGTTCAAGGAATAAGTTGGTTACAACTGAGAACCGCATCTAACTATAGTCATGATAATCATACCTGATTTGTAGTTACAAACTAAGTTGGCTAAGTATGGGGCACCACCTTGTGAGCACAGACCTTTGATCCAATAAATAAATATAAACTACTGTAAATACATGTAAATACATGTAAATACAAGTAAATAAATCCTGGGGATGTTCAGAAACTTCAAATGGTCAGAACGGGAGCCTATGCCTATTGGAGGCGACCTTTGACGCTGGTTTCTTGAAGAGTGAGCATGCTGCAAATGTACATCGTGTGGTTAAACCAAGGGAATCCAATCATAAACCAGTTCAATCATGCCATTTGATGGGTATTGCTGTATTACAAAACACTGTAAAATCATACGGCCAGAAAATGCTGTTGATTCTGTTTGGGTGGAACCTTCTTAATTGTTGAATATGATAACATGATGAAACAGCCGTTGTATCTTGAAACTTGAAACCCTCGACGTTTCGGTGGATCCCTTCCCATAGGTCGAGCTAGAAGTGGCCACGGATGATACGCTGGTGGCACCTCTGCTGGTGGAAACTGATACGCTGGATGGGATAATCCAAGAGCCCGTGGATATGGATGCGGATGACGAGGTTTTGCAGATAGGCCGGGCACTGCTGGACCAAACTGCAAAAAAACATGGCAGTATGGTTATTTACAGTACTCTCCAAATGGGAGTCAACCATTTTGAGCCATACTTTACACATTTCAGGAAGTATTTGGTAGTTGTGTCCTCCAGTCTTGGCAGCAAGATGTTTTTGCACGTCAGTGCAGCGTAGGAAGACCACAGAGTGAGCAGGTAAATACAAAATATGGCTATGGCTCAAAATGATTGACCAATATTGACCAAAAGAATGGGTCAAAAAACCCTCTGCCAATCAAAGATGGCAATGGAACATTACCGGAGGGTTTACAGAGGGACTTTGGTGATGTAAATTTTACTAAATGGTACAGTAAATCGACTGTAAATGGGTGATGTATATAAATGGTATCAGCAAAAACCCATCTACAGACGATTTACATCACCCATCACCCATTTAAATGGTAAAACAAAAAGCCATGATTTATTTTCAGATGATTTACATCACCCATTTACAGTCGATTTACCATTTACCCTCTGGTAATTTGTTACATAGCTATTGAAAATGACCATAGAAATAGTGGATTTTCCCATTAAAAATGGTGGATCTTTCCATAGCTATGTTAGTTTACCAGAGGGTAATTTCCATAAATGGAAGTACCCCAATAGCTGGATGATTTATAATGGAACATGTCATTAACATGTCACCAATTTTTAATGGAACCTAGTCTTCCAACCCCTATCTGCCAGGGTCTATGTTAATTTACCAGAGGGTACCATTTACATCACCATTTACAGTTGATCAAAAACAGATGATTTCTTCACAGATGTCCGAGGCGACATGCAAGATCCATGGATTGATCCAGACTTCGCAGAGCAGGCGTAGCGCCTATCGTAGCCAACCCCCGCAAAAGGGCCGCAAGGGCGGCAAGGGGCTAGACTTGTGGATTTGAGATGGTTTGATATGAATATATTATATTGTATTATAATGGTTTTGATATGGTTTGATATGGTTTTGATATGGTTTGATTTGATATGGTTTAATAATGTTTAATATAGATTATGATTATAATAGTATATGAATGAATTATATGGGTTTGATCCATTTTGGATCCATTTTTGACACGATTTGTCTGTGGATGTTTCTTTGGATTGGGACATTTATGAGTTATTATAAGTCCCCCGTTCACGGTGGATCGCCAGTTACTGAACTTGAAGTGACTGAACTTGTGTCATTTTCAGCTGAATCCTCAGCTGAATTGATTTGAGTGACTGCTCCTTTTTATTGAAATTCCAATTTATTGTAATTCAACCGGGTAAAATGTAATGTCAACTAAAAGCGCTACCAAAACATCCAAAACACTTCTGTCCATCTCGGATTTGGACCCTTGACGTTGCCAAGGTCCAAACAGTGCCAACATCATGGGGGTGTAGGCATGGTATTGTCATTTTCAGATAGCTAGCTTATAGCCTTAACATTGCCTTAACAATCGATGCCGATAATGAGATATCTGGGACTTTCAACTTGTTCAACCTCTGGGATTCACATCAAATTGTGCATGTCCGCAATGACACATTACGGCACCCATTCAAAGAATTTCCAAAAAAGCGATCCCCTTATCTCGTAGAAGCTGGTCTTTGATGGTTATAAAGCAAAACTTCATGAAAACAATACCCTGGGTCTATACATGACATAATATGTCTACACTAAGTACCAACCAGACTTCTGGACCAAATGTTTGGATCTCAACTTCTGCCGATGTTTGGCATCGTTCCCATTGCGGCAATGGACACGCTGATCTGGGCAACTTTTGTTGTCGACCTGGGTGTTTTCCCCCCAATCTCATCCATTCATAATCCAACTCAGACTCACAGATGAATCCCATTGACCCTGATATGACTCGTATTCTCAAGAGTGAATAAGAGTGAACAACATCACTCTTAAATTCAAGAGTTGGATAAGAGTGGGAATAGGTTATTGATTAAATATGAAATATAAGCTACTAACCAATCTACAGATACTTAAGTAATCTGAATGTGTACTATATCTGAATGATTATGAACGACTGATGGGAAGTTTTTTCCCCCCCTGAAAGCAGTCAAAACCCATCGTCCAGAACGAACGGATGGAGAAGGCCTTTGGCATCGATGGTAACGTGGCAAAATGGCAATTTTTCGTAGTGGACAAACCAAGTAAGGAGATTTTGGCGAATGGGATATCATTCTGATACCATATGATACCATGATTTTTTTGGGATGCCGGGCATGTTTTTCACAGAAGCAAATCGTCAGACATCAATATTGGTGACAGCAGGTGATATGGGGATGGATCGGAATGGGGAGATGAACATCCAGCACCAGCTACAAGATTTGGGTGTGAACAGAAGCAGGGTTTTGACCCCATAGGAAGTTGCGGCTGAATCAGCAACTGCAAAGCTTTTTTTTCTCGGGATGGCGTTTTTCGCCAAGATCTTGTGGAAAATGTTAACACAACTTCATTGTTGTGGCACAGAGTACAGTCAAAGCCTTTGCAAGAGCAGTCGCTTGGACAATTCATTGTGTCCGATTACGGCATCTTCTCGTTACATTCATGATTCACAGCATGAATTTAGTGATTACATTCATGATTCACACCATGAATTTGGTGATTTATAGCCAGCAATCCAACATCATTTTCGCCTCCAAGATGTTTATCCGCACGAGGCGAAGGAGAGCGCGATCGAGAGGTGCGATGCAACATCGTTCACCACAAAACGCATGCTGTAGGGCCTGTATTGTAGGCTATTGTCATTTGGTTGTTTGGATGACACATGTTGTACAAAGTTGTCCCTCAAGTGAAAAATGATATATTTGACCAACATGTTCCGAACAGAAACTGTCAGTTGGGATCGATTTAATACCCAAGCCTGCGGCTTGAGCGACACGGGATGTCAGGACAAGAATGTATCAATGAAAGTTGAAAGCCCCTGGCTATCACTGCAGAAACCAAGAGTTAACAAAGTGCCACTCCAATGCTGCCAGTGCTAAAGCTCATTCGCAATTGCCTTTCTACAACCAAAGAACTCGTTCGTATGCCCTGTCCATGTCCCAAGAGTTGTACATCTTGCTTTGTCATCTGGGATCTTCATAAATCTTCATGAATCTTCCCATGAATCCAGTCATTGGAGTCATGGTTTTCCCCTTTACCAACAGCGCAAAAAATGAGCGCGCTGCTGCCGCTGCCGGCTGTGCCGGCTGTGCCGGCTGCGGCCACGCCTCAACTTCCCGCAGCGCGGCTGCGGGGCACCACTCCTGGTGGGATCAATGGCGGAAGAGTTGTGCCTTGGGAGAAATGGGAAAACCATTGGAAAACCGATGAATGGGACATCCGTTTGAAGGATTCCATATTTCTTCAATCTGATTGATATACATAACATTACATAAGAGATGCGGAATATATGTCATTTTGATTCACGTTGATGAAAATTCTTGAATAGGTGATCAATTACAGGGTAACCCTGCCGAACTAAACAGTTCATTGATTTTGGGTTGATATTAGCGATTGGAGGCCTTGTGAGCCACGGTGAACCCATTGTCTTCTGAGGTTCAAGAAGCCGTGATGAGATGAACCAATGATGAAGCATGTTGAACCCCTGCTATTGTATTGTTTTCTCCAGAAAATATTGTAAATCAAGAATACCGTAGTTCATCAGGTCATCATCATGTTTCTCCACTAAGCAGCTCGAATCATCTCATTTATTACAGGTAAATGATAGCAGAACGGGGAACAACCTCGGTGAGGTTGACACAATAGTGGGTGGTACTATCCCAACGAACATCACGACCCTGCCAATATATTTATAGGAGTTGTTTGACAATTCTTGAATCTAAAATGGATTCTTCTCAGGATCAAACTGTTGCTGTAGTATATCCCATATGCATCCATATGCTTCATGTATGGAATATTTACTGTACCAACATTTGCCCTAAAAATGACCCAAATGTAGGCAAATATTCCATACATGGAGCATCTGGGTATCGTTAGTTTGGGGGGATATTCCATATCGAACTGGGTAAACGGTGATTGTTATGATTTCAAACCGTGATGGTTTGACTCCGCTTCCGAAAAAAACGGATGGGTCGACCCACTGTGATGGGGTCGGGGGTTCGCTTGGAGCGCCGAAAAGTGGATCGCTTAGACTAGAGCGCCGGAAAGTGGATCGCTTGGAACGCCGAAAAGTGACATAAGAGATACATAGTGCTAGAGTTCCATACATATGCGCAGAGGCATATAGCATCATATAGCCACATAAATGGATGCATTCATATGTCGCTGAAGCACGCGATAACATTCGATGCGATCCACTTTTCGGCTTTATACTTGACGAAGAAACGTATCAGGAACATCTTGCAAGTTACCTGAAGAAGAGTTTTGAACGTACCAGGAACGTCTTGCAAGTTACTTGAAGAAGATGTTACAACGTATCAGGAACAGCTGGCACGTTACCTGAAGAAGAGTTTTGAACGTACCAGGAACGTCTTGCATGTTACTTGAAGAAGATATGACAACGCATCAGGAACATCTTGCAAGTTACTTGAAGAAGATGTTACACGTAGCAGGCACGTCTTGCATGTTACTTGAAGAAGATATGACAACGTATCAGGAACGTCTTGCAAGTCACTTGACGAAGATGTTACGACGTAGCAGGAACGTCTTGCCTGTGTGTGCACAGGAACATGAACGTTATTACCCACCCCACCCCACCGCACCCCACCGGCAACTGATCATGAAAGAACAGCGCAGTGCCTGTGTCTGCAGGACAGCAAGTTGCTGTGCCTTTGTGTGCACAGGAACATGAACGTTATTCCCCCACCCCAGCCCACCCCACCCCACCCCACCGGTAACTGACCATGAAAGAGCAGTGCAGTGCCTGTGTCTGCAGGACAGCAAAAAGATGATGAGGTTGCTGTGCCTGACCCCATGTCCCAGCTCCGTGTCCCCAAGTGTTACCCTAAAGGTATCATTCTCTGGTGCTCTACACTGGAATGCTAAAGTCGTGCCTAAAATTTGGAAATCATCGTAAATAGCTGGGGAGCACTTGATTATTGCGAACATTTGTTTTTTCCCAAGTGTTGAAACATTCTTCTTATACATACGCGATTCCATGGTGTTTTAAGATTTGGGCATGACTTAGGCATGAGTTTCTTGAAACAGCGATTCCATGGTGATTTACTAGCAAATTTTGACCCAGGCATGAGTTAGGCATGAGTTTGTCGTTTGACTGTAAGTGATCCACTTTTTTGGCGCTCTAAGTGATCCCATAGTGATCCGGTGCTCTAAGTGATCCACTTTTCGGTGCTCTAAGTGATCCCTTAACCCTGCGATGGTTACCTCCATTTTGTCTGGGAATTTCACATTTTTCATTGTAAAGGTTGGCTTGTAACCCCCAGTGACTACAGATATAATATCTACAATAAACCCTAGTTATTGGAGTTATATCATGTTATATCTACAATAAACATCAATAAACCCTACTTAAATAATATAAATATATATATATATACATATTATGTTACATACATATATATATATTTACATATATATATACACGTTTATTATAATTTATTATATAGCCAACTGAACTCAGCATGGGCACCATTTCTTGTCCCTCAGGTCGACTCCCGGTGGCCCCAAGCGCTGGTCACTCTGGCGCTTGGGCCCCTGCGACGACGACTTCGCTCGTCTACCGCTCGGAAGGCAATGCCACTGGAGCTGGACCGACTGGACCTGGTGGCTGGAGAATTTTCGAACTGTTCAAGGAGGTTTATAGATGTTTATAGCTGGGAAATTATATATAATATAGCTGGGACATGATCGAACTAAATAAAGGAAAAATTATCCAGCAAAATGCGTTTGATGACCGGAGGGCAGATGGTTTTGAAAATCGTTAGGGATGAATATCTCCGAATATATCTCGGAATGGCGGAAGTTTCAGGTTGGTCAATGATATATTGGTCAATGATTCCAGATGGTTTTTGAAGGATAATGTCAACCCTGGATTAATAATGATTAATAGACCCCTAGTTGACTAATTCCGGGGGTACCATTTATAAAAGGGAAATATTGCTATTCGGGGATCCCCACACATTAATACAATGGAGGATTATTAATCCAGGGTTGATATTAAGAATTGGGGGAACCCAAAGAATTGCTGATTTCAGGAGGAATTGTGATGAATTGGTTTCATTTGCCCATGCCAATGATTTTGAGGGAAAAAACAAGTGGTTTGAACCCAAAGAAGGAAGCAAATAGATCAAACAGATCAATAGATTCAAACAGTAGATATGATATGATATTATTCAACACATTTCAACACGATCTATTTATATTCATTGCGTAAAGTGCAGAGGTCAGCACTTTGCCGAGGTAGAAAATTGAACGACATCCCCACAGGAGAACCAGCTGAAGTTGAAGGTGATCATGCTGCAACGTGGTGACACTGCGGAGTCTGATGTGATGCTGGCTGAGGCAAGTCGAGTCCCGAGTTATATATTGTATAATTATAATTATATATAATATTATATGTACTATGGCTTATTATGGATAATGGACAAATATATATATATATATAATACTTTAGAGTTAGACATGTTAAACATTATTTATTTTCCCTTTTCTGAACAGAATTTGGTAGATGATTTGTTCGTATGAAATGTTCAACTCCGTTTGCTCGAGTTGCTACAGCCTGGCAGCGCAGCTGACTCAAGCCGTGTCTACATCTACTGGCCCCGGGCTTTCAGGTGGGCAATCCAGATGAAGACACCTGGAAGCCGGTTCGATTGAAACCCAGCGAGGACAAGACATCGTGATTTGGCCAAAGTGCAGATGGTTTGATGTGGCCCTATGGGTCCTGTATTTGATTATGGTTTGGGTTTGGTGAACCTTTCTGAGATACAGGACCCCTTCGGAAGTTGGAGTTTGTATGATTTTGCTGATTGTGAGGTGTGTTTGTGTGTGCGTGTGTTCGTAAGATTCGATTCTGCTGTCCAGGGCAAAACTCGTGTCATAATTCTAGAGATTGAAGGTTCCATGTGACATGTGAGCGCATTTGCATTTTTTAAGATTTGTTCTAACAGTCGAACAATGGAATAGGTCCATTGTTGTGCTACTAACTACAGGAATCTACAGGATCACTTTAGTAGACATCCAGAACATCCAGCGCTGCAAACATAATTACATGAACATTGTGTGTGTACACAGTATATACACATTGTGTCCAATACATATCACATATGTACATACGATATTTCAATAAATATGTCACAGGTGTATAATATATATATATATACATACATAAACTATATATATAAACATATATATATATATAAACTATATATATACATATATAAACTATACACAGTTTGTGTATCAACTATATATCAACTATATATAAACTATATATATAAACTATATATATAAACTATATATATAAACTATATATATAAACTATATATAAACTATATATAAACTATATTTGAACTATATATAAACTATTATATACAAACTAAATATAAACGATATATAAACTATATATATATAAACTATATATATATATAAACTATATATATATATAAACTATATATATATAAACTATATATATATATATAAACTATACACATATATATATATATATACACATGACAAAATATGTGATAATATACCGTTACATGGCTGCGCTGCCCAGGTGGAGCGACGCGGACAGCTCCGTGGTGCTGCAGATGTCCGAGGCACAGCTGCTGCAAAAGCTGTGCCCGCAGCGGGAGAGCAGCCCCAGTTTTCGACGCTGGGAAGCAGAGAAAAATATGGGGTAAAAATGGGTAGAACATAGGAAAAAATCTGGAAAAACCTATGGTTTTCCTTAGGAAACCCCCACTATATATTGAAAGATCATGGAAGATCTAGAATCCATGAGGAAATGGAAAACCAAGCATTGCCAGATGGCCATCTAGCTCGTGGGGTTCAGACCTGTGAAAAGTCGAAAACAATAGAAGTGCTGTTTCATCCCAACTGGGTTTGTTTGAAAATAGGGGACCTCAAAATTCCATGGTCTATCATCATTTCCCCCTTCAAATGAATTGAAGGTAATTCGTTCATTTTGGATAGGCCTGCATGATTCATTCCGTGGATCGTTATTTGTCATGGCATTGCTAAATTCGTAGATATTTTTGAACATACCCAGGTACCCTCCTAACATTCAAAACATCATCCAAAAAGATGTGAAAAACCCAGCATTAATACATGATTAGTAGATGATTTTCCTAGGGAAACCCTGGGTTTTCATGGGTTTTTCGGATCTTTCCGCCCCAGGTGCTTCTGCGCCCTATTGGCCGCAGATCATTTCGCAGCAGATGGGCCCGTGGCCGCTTAAAGGCCCAGGAATTCAACGTTTGGGGGTTATTAGTCCAGGGTTGACACTATTTAAATGTATATTTGTATATATTTGTTATTTTTCTTTTTATTGTTACTGTATACATTGTTAATTTGTTAGCAGTATTGTTCTTACTAGTGATTGACATTATTGATATGGGGTGGACCATCTCCAATAAATGAGGTCAAAATCCGGAAAAAAAACAATGAACTTCAGTACACTTCATCCCATTCCAATAACTCCTTTACCCCCATAATCTGTGGATATCTGTGACATTGGAATTTTGCCCTCCAACCAGGCCCTGGCACTGTTCTCTTTGAGCCCAATCGCCTCTTGGATGTGGCGAAGGAGCTGCGGAACGGCACAGGACCCGTCACCAGGCTGCTTTTGCAGACCATTTTTGGGGCGATTGGGTGTTTGTGAAGAAACACCTTCCCATACAACGTACAGATGTCTCGATGCATTTTTACATCCGTACATGATAGACGTGTTTTTTTTGTGAGGCTTCCCTCTCCTGCAATCATATATAATTATATATATATATTATTATGATATCATATCAGTTTCTATGGGCTGAGAGGCTAACTTGAGTCATAAACCCTCAGGAGTTAACCCTTGGGTCCCATACAGGGCTTGACTCCGGTGGTGACCCCCGAGGTGGTGATTCCCGGTGGCGCGCAAGAATTGCAGCTGCCCACGAGCGATGTGGTGGATCTGCTGTGACCCGGCCGGTGGTTTTTTTGCCGCGCGGTTCCACCGGTGGAACCTAGGTGGTGTCTGAAAATGATGTGGCAGTGTGTCAAAACCTTGTACCCCTGTAGTTCACATCAAAATAGCTGGTAAATGGATGTTCATCCCACTAAAAATGGTATTAATAGGTATTGATCCATACCCATGTTTGTATACTGTATACCGATATAGCAATGATCATGGCATGTCATGGCAAATATCCCTAAAATACTCTATAGTCAGTGTATATCGTATACCGTATAGCCCTAAAATATCATAAAATAGCAAAGTGAATGGCACATAAATAATGATCAACCAGGATTTTTACCATGATTAGCTGTTTCCCCTCGGGCCCATGGGGTTTTCAACACACATCGAGTCAGTATAGCTATCTCCAAGATTTCCCATCAACCAATGCTGACGATAGGTGAATCATCGACCATAGCTGGCTGTCAAATTGCTGGCTAAACGCCCACCATCTTTGGGTTGGGTTAAATCCATATGTTTGGATGGTTAATCCTATAAATTACCACAATACCACAAGATCCTCTTCATGTTCCTGTGGGCTTACCTAAGGTTCCCCTGCCTAATGGGTTCCTCCTTGGCAGACGTCTTCGGCGAAGACTCGCAGGGCCAGCTGACCTACCAGGAGTAGCACCAAAGCCATCTCTCCTAGCCAGGGCTCTGTGAAAGGATGGTGCTCAAAGCAGTGCTTCAACTATTAACACTTCTCATTATCGTTATCATTATTGATTAGTCATGATTATTCATTATCAGTGGTTATTTATCATAAATTCTATCATTCATCATCATTAGTTTTCAGTAATTGTCATGAACCCTCATTAATTATATCATTAACTACCGTATCACGACCTATCATTGATTATATCATGAATATTCATGAATTATATCAATAATAATTGATAGGATTTGTATATCATAGTATATCCATTTATATCAATTATATCATAGATACGACCTACTGCATCCTCAATCCTCTAGTGTTTCTGCACCACATAGGAGCTGCTTGAGAGCTGCCCCGGTCTGGGCGACGTCGGAGCAGCAGATCTCAGCCGCGTTGAGCGGCTGACGGATGGCAGAGTGGTGACCTTTGAACAGAAGCCATTCAACATGGAATGCATGTGCCTTGCCTCGGCCCTTGGCCTTGAGGATATGTTTATTGTGGTTTATGGTGATATGTCGCTGGTTTTCTGGTGGTTTTCTGTTAAATTGCATGGTGATTGAGGATTTTGTGGGAGAGTGATATTTCTTTTCAGAGGCTGAGATGTGTTTGACAGGTGGTGATGATCGTATGTGTTTATTCTTTGAATCATTTCCATCATCACATCACATCATATATATATAATATATAGTTCACTGAATGTGGCTATATCACATCTATATTAACTAAATTTGGCTATGTTTGGTAGTAAAAATATTCTACCACAACGTCTTACCATTGTTTTCCGATGCATCAGCAGGTCCCGCCGATGGTCGCGCGGCGCGGTGATTCGAAAGCTTGGGAAGAACGGGGTCGCTGAGACCGCGGGGTGCAAGGCCGGTGACATCATCGTGCCTTGGATCGCGATGGCTGCAGCGAACGGCTGGTGTTGGTGATGGGCCGCATTGATATGTTGCGAAGGTTTGAAACATAGCAGCATCTATATGTATATATGTACACACAATGATATATATATATATATATAGATACTATCCGTGAATTCTACAATTTATGAGAGAACAGTAGTGGCTTCGCAAGATCTATAAGGAATGTCAACATGCGTGAGGAATTGTTTTTGCTTCAACAGAAACTCTGAAACATCTACGTCTATTCAATGGTCATCAGGATGTGCATTCAATGGCTGGTCATCAGGCCAAGATGTTCAGATTGGTACATGGACAGTACCTAAGTCTCACCTAAGTTACCTATTATGGTCTCTGTTGTCAGATATACCAGGTTATACCATCTGGCTATGGACGAATACCTTTAGATACAATTTCTTAGGGGATGAACATTCATTTACCAGCAATTTTGATGTTCACTAGGTGCCAGGGTTTTGACCCATCCCCATCTACCCATCTACCTGTATGATCTACACCTCATCTTCGCTGGCGAACACGTTCCTGGCAGGTGACCATCAACGGCGAGGCGGTTCTGAACGCCACCCTGGCGGACGTGGAGGAGCGGTTGGAGCAACTTCCAGCGCAGTTGGAGGTGGGGCAACCAGTCCTGCAGGAGCCCTTGTACCTCCGGGAGGCCGGGAAGTCGGGGCGTGGGAAAGGGGGCCTATAGATGATGTTGGATGGCAGAACGTAATAGAATGTAATAGAATCTATAGGTCTTCCAAAGGTCTGAGGATGCAAGTTCCACAATATCGCAACATGCATCTTCTACAAAGAAGATGCCATTGGAGGCAAATCCCTCAGTTTCAGTCAAATTGACATACCTTGTATTGTTGTTTATCTCCCCAGAGGTCCCATTATATTCCCGTCATGATTGCTGAACATCCCCATGTTCAGACAAACCTTTGGATTCCCTTATACAATCAATGTTCATTAAATGAAATCTTCAGACAAAGCTATGGATTCCAGGTATATATTCATCGAAATTGTATGTTTGATTGCAAAAAACATGTAGAAATCTCATGGCTGGTCCCGTTGCATATTCATTCCACACATTTATTGCTAAAGTCTCAGCTAATGGACATTCTTAATTTTACATCCCAATGTTAAAATAGTCTACTGTATATTCTTTTATTCATGGTTATTCCATCATCAATCCATATTTTTGATGGTTAAATATATCCCCATGTATAATGATTTATAAACACCGAACCCTTATATATTTTGGGTAAATAACTATCAGTCAATTGTTTAATCCATTGAGAAACAACATGTCCATCCCCACTATGATTGATAGTCAGGATACCCATATATTTTGGATCCATCCCACCAAATCCGTCCATTTCAAAAAGAACATACTGATTAACCCATCTCAGAAAAAAACAACTCATAGATTCACAGTCTAATTGTGATTAACCCATGAAAATAGTAAAAAGACATCAAAATCATTGGGTTCACATGGGTTAATCATCGAAGCCATCCCCAAAATGTCCATTTTTTGGGCAAGGCCACCACCGACCTCCTGACCAGCCTGGCAGATGTGGAGGCAACGGAGGCAGTAGAAGAGCTGTTGCCCAGGGTCTCCCAGTGGCCAGGCCATATTTCAGCCTGAAAAATCGGGACTTAACCAGGTTTTTCCAGCTGGTGTAAATCAGAAAGGGATTTTTATATGTTTAGAAAACTGAGGATTTAACCTTAAGAAACATTGGGTTATGTAATTGAATGTAACCAAGAACTTAATAATGGATAGATGATGAATGATGATGATTAATATGTGTTTGTCTGGATAGATGATGTTTCAAGCAACAAAAATTGGGGTTTAAGAAACAACAATGAGCATGGTGGATACTGTACCCCAAAAACAACCATTTGAATTGGGAAAGCTATGATTTAACCAAGGAATGGGTAGCATATTTTCAGAGAACGCCGTCTCTTTCGGCCCAGGTTAATGGAGGGTCAGGCGTCAATGAGTGATAAACTTCCACAGGCGTGGTCCAATGGGTGGTCCAGTGGTATTTTTTTGGCATTTTAACGCAGTGTTTGTACATCTTGGTAGTGTATGGTAGTGTTTTTGATTATGATTAGTTAAAGATATTTTGCTTGAAAGTGTCAGAAGGTGGGGCCTTTTCATGTCATTGAGCAGCTGATCTTCTCTCAGATGGGTGGCCTTTTGGGGACATTAGGGACATTAGGGACATAGGGGATTCGTCTACAAAAAGCCTCTTAAAGAATTGCAACAGATTTCTGACATTCAGAGGGTCAGCATGAAACAAGACCGGAGCTTGACACCCTCGGAAGACATCGGAGGTGTTTGCCGGCGACGGCGGTTCTGCATCTCATGTGCACGTGGACTGCCTGGGCGGTCGCACCCAAAATCCCAAACTCACTTTGGCGCATGGCATGATGTTCTATATTTGTTGGTTGATGAAAAGAGATCGGTAGACCATGGAAAACCACGATTTGGGGGTTTCCTGAAATGGTGGTACCCCTAAATCATCCATTTGAATAGGATTGTCCATTACAAACCTACCATTTTTGGGGTATCCCCATTTATGGACAATCACCATTTGTTTCATAAATGGTAAACCCATGGCCACCCTCTGGGCATGTCAGTCGCAGGATTCCACACCCATGGTGCAGATGTGCCACGTGGTGCACGGTGTGAAGGCCATGTTGGGTTCGTCATGGTTCGTCTGAAATGGGGTATATCCTCCGGGAATCAAACTTGGCAATGGGACATCTATAAATCGAGGTTTCGAAATGGGAGATTTTCCAGCTAGCTATGTGTGGCTGATGACACAGGAGGGTACCCCAAAATGGTGATGTACAATAAATAGGGATTGAAACCATGTGGATTTGGGGAAATGACTTCGGGACAGAACAGGCCTTTCTTGAAGTGTCAACGCCACATGCCAAGGAAACATTGGGGATGTAGAGTTGCTTTGGTGAGGAATGATAGTTTTCTGATGTTTTCTGCAAGAACCATGGATTTCTACTTGTCTGCATGGTTCAGTCTTCAAGGTGTGAACTTGACCCATCCTCAGATCTTTGGCGTTGACAGCAGCGCTGGGGCGTCGGGTGACTTGAAACCCTGGGTCACACGACACCTGGCAGCAGGGTGATCAGACGTGATCAGTGAGTGAATGGATGGTCAGTTGACTTCCAGGCCAGTGGTGGTTTTGAGATGTTTAGAGTATAATGACAACACCGGATTAATAACCCCCCCCCTATAGGTCAACAAGGTCAACAAGGTCAACAAGGTCAACAAGGTCAACAAGGTCCAGTCAGGGAATCAAAAAAAAACACCCCCCCGAAAGAAGGTTCCTTTCATTCATCCATGAACGACCTCCTAAATCTAAGTCATAAGTCATAAGAAATCAACTTCCAATGGGAAACCATCAGATTCCTAAGTCATAAGAAATCAACTCAAAAAGGGTTGAAACATCAGTGGGGCCAGTGGGGGTTTACTAATTGGGGGGGGGGAGCGTCGTTTTATTTGTGTGTTTGGGGGGGGGAGACACCACTCAAGTGGGGTAGCCTTTCTGAGCTCCCAAAAGCAGCATTTTTTAATTGGATGTTAATTAGAAATCGATCATTTGGGGGACTATTTTTTTTTTTCATTGTTGGCGTCTTGAAAACGCCAAGTGAACAAAAACACCCTTGGGAGGTGATGAGGAAACATCAGGCAATGCAATGTTGATGTAGCTGTTGGAAATTGGAACCCGAATTAAAAAGTAAAAAGGGAGTAATAGCAAATTAGTCGCACCAAAAATTTGGGGATCCCGGAGGGGCTTCTCTAATTGGGGGGTTGGAAACCATTATTAGGGGGGGAAACAGCTCCTACTCGACTTTAGTATTGCCCCAAAATCGGAGGAGAGCATGGGCTTCGCTAATTAGCGGGTTTTGTTAATCCTGACTCGTCATTATTATTTAAAAAAACAAATTGATGTTCAAATATGTTCAGAAGAAGTTGACTCCCTGTTTTGGCTGGTCATTCCATGCTAAGAGTAGAATTGCAAACAATCCCATTGAAACCGGAAGACTGGACCCGCGTGGCCCATTCCAACAGCCCTCAGGATGGGGTTCTCCAGCTTCAACCGAAGCGGAGGCGTGGATGTCGATTTTCTCGCTTCTGCCGACTTGATAAAAATGGAACATCTGCAGAATTCAACGGTTCTTGAATTCACATGAATTCACTTGAGTCAGTTCCCATTAAAATAGATGGTTTCCCCAGAATTGTTCCATGGTTTTCCCAGGGGTTTCCCATGGATTTTGCCTTGAACCAGTTCTGCTTGGAAAAACGTTCTTTCAGGTGGCGCTACCTGTTGACGTGGACTTGGATCAGGCCCAAAAGTGCCAAGGGGAAGCACTGAAGCATTGACCTACCAGCACTAGATGGTCATAATAGGTTTGAAATGGTTCTAATAAAGTACAAATGATTCTACTAGATTCAAGTTCCAACTGATTTTGATAATATATATTATATATATTATATACATATATTTGATCATTTGTTATCTTGTTTTCATGCTATGGTTCTCCAATATTTCTTGTACCAGGAATATGCTGCCTGGTTGGCCAGCCGCGAGACCAGCATTGCCATGTGCCGTGCGGGAGATGTGATGCTCTTCTGGGGAGGCGCTTGGTTCGGTGCGATCTGAAGGGCTGAGAACCAGATCATGGCGGTGACCGGGGGTGAGTCATGGTCATGGTCTCTAAATATGTATATTATATATTATATATATATTATTATATACATGTGTATAATCCAATGTTGTGTATCTTGATTAATTACTGTGTCATTGGATATCTATCGTTATCTATATTTATCAAATTATGTTTGATATTATGATATGATACTTATGTCATTAGTTGTCTCACCCACGAGGATCTCCGAGTCCCTTATTTTCACTTGTGTCACCTGTCAGGCAACCCACACTTTGGCTCGAATGGCATGGGCGCGGGTCCCTGTGTGGCACTCTTCCATGGCTTTGAGCTACGCCAGAACGAATAGAAAAGGAGTGCTCTTAGCGGAGCTCAGGGGAGTGGGGAATCCTGATGACGAATTTCAGAGAAGTCGAAATTTCTTAGGCCAAAACCTTGCTTGGTGATTCTAGGTGCCGTCTAAGATTTAACTGTTGAAGTGAGGATCTCTGCGGAAGACTTGAAAAATCTCCGGCCAGGTTAAGCCATCCGTCAGAATCCCAGCGGTGGACTGTTGGTTTTTGGGGTGATGATGAGATAGTAATCCATTAAAAGCGTTTGAAACCGATCGATATCAGGTAAGTTATATAAGATAATGTGAGTGAATATGACTCTAATGTGTATAGATATATGATATGTTATTTCAGATGTGTTACTGTCCCATTAAAACAAGAAGGTTATACAGGTATACACAAAATGGAGGAATATACGGTCCCCCCCAACATTGACCCATTGACCCTGACATTCCACAACATAAATCTGCGATTCTCAGGGTCAAACTGTTGGCGGGATGCTAACTGGGGTACATCAACCAGCGAACATCCATACTTGGTGGCTCATCCCACTTAGTAAGTGGGTTATAACCCCAATTATAAGTGGATTAACCCTACTTATCCCATTTATAACTGGGGTTATATCTCACTTACTAAGTGGGATGAGCAACATCCATAGCCCAAGGTGGAGAAAGGCGCTGTGGAGGGCTTCAAGCGCTGTAGCATCTACGCCATGGACTGGACAGGCGCTGAGTAGTTCCGGTGCTGGGAAAGCATGGCAAAAGCCATCAATCCAGCTTCTGGGTGAAATATCTCCTATAATTTCTAGGTGGATCGAACTAGCGCTATGAATTCGAGGTATTTTTGTTGGATTGGATAAACATGGATAAACTACATGACTTTATTAAACATTTCTTGGATAGATAATGTACCTGATGCAAGCCATCCCTGTCAGGTGACAAGCTGCTGGTGGCTGCCAAGGATGGACGCATCCTTAGAAATCAAATTCCAATCAGGTTTCCAAGGCCTAGAGGACATGCGGTCACACAAATTGGCTTGGATCAAGATAGTCCACAATGCGGTCTTGTTACCAGGATTCAAATGAATGCAAAAAACCTTTAAACGAGCCAAGCCGAACGGGCAACCTAGTTTGGAAGTAGAGATCTCAGGGCATAAGTTCGAAAAGGTTTCTTTGACAAAATGGATAGTGACAGCGGAAACGCTGTAATTACAAGAGTTGCAAATCCTGTTCCGGGAATAGGAATCCACGAATGCACCCAACTTTTCACAACCAATTCAACCAAAAAGAAGGACCAAGGGGTGGATCGCATCAAAGGGTGGGTAGTGTGGCTCTAGCCTCTAGAATACTCTCTGAAATCAACTCGGGTACATGAGAAGCGGATGTTTAACGTCAACTTCTACTAGGATCTACTAGGTAGTTTCGGGATTTTCATGAACGACAAGGACGAAATTTTCGGTCTTGGACATCTGAGGATAATTACTCAGTAACCCCCAAAAAAGATAGAAATACTTCGAAATGAAATTCTTCAGTATTTTATAAAGTCAATAGGATTTTACGTTCCTACCTTTTTGGCTGTTGCTATACTGCTATACCGGCCATGATCTGTGCCCAGGTCCTGGCATTCGATTGCAAGATGTGGAGAGAGGCCCATGGTTTGTGCTCATGTTTGATACAAAGGGTCCCCATAGGTCAGTCGGTTTCAAGAAGTAGCAATTCTGAAACATCCTGAAATGGTTTATAAAAGGGACCGTTGCTTTCCAGTTGCTTTGTTTCAGCTTGCTCTGTGCATTTGAGTCTGATTGAGTCTTGTGAGTGTTCCATGGTGCATCTACCCCCAAAAAATGGATTGTTTATAATGGAAAATCATATCACAATGGATGATTTGGGGGTAGCTCCATGGAAACCTCCCCACCTTCTATCGATGGAAGTGGCTAGGAGTGGAAGAGAGAACTTGGTCCGGGGAGCCCGGCGCCACAGGTGTAAATGCTACTGATTGTGGTCATCGTTATCATTACCACCACCACCACCATCACCGCCAGCAGCAGCAGCATCATCATCATCACCACCATCATCATCATCATCAGCATCAATTTCCTCTTAAATTCCTAGTATATAGCACTGCCACTACAAGATGAATGCCGATTGCATCGCCTGAAAGTTACTGATCTCCTAGGTGGATGAGCATCCGCACGGACCCCAACAATCCCTTCGTGGCCGCCGCGGTGGCGTGGAATGGCAAGCTGCATACTCAGCACAGCGCAGCACAGCGCAAGCGGCTCGCTTTGATCCCTCAACTATCATGGAATGCCAATGAAGACATACTGAATACCCTCTGGTAAACTAACATAGCTATGGAAAATCACCATTTTTAATGGGAGAATCCACTATTAATGGCCATTTTCAATAGCTATGTTAAATTACCAGAGGGTACATACTGAATACTGCCTTGATATCTTTGGAAAGTCTGAAGACCAAGTTTTCAGCACATTTTCGCTCAACATTTTTTAATGGCACAATCTTCAAATAGGAAGGTTACGGGCACCATGCTAAGGTTCAAACTCTTCGATACCAGACAAGCAAGTTGGGCAGCTCAATGATGGGATTGAACCAACAATTTCTGCAGCTGAAATCTGAAAACTGGGCAGATGTGAGCTGTCAGAGATTTCCCAGCACAGTATAGTAAAGTAATGTAAAGTATAGTAAAGAAATGTGTAGCATATATATATAATTATAGATATATATATACATCTAGTTTGGTGATGTTTGACATTCGATATTTCCTGATGCACTTCTCCATCTTCTCCCTGGTTTCATCGGATTCTTAAGAAACTTGTGCAGAAGTTTATCCCGGATCTGCGCCGACTGCCACCAGGTCAGTCTGTGTTCGATGTTGACTTGAAGAAGACATCGCCATCGATGAGGGACCGTGGGAGATTATGCCTTATGGGTAAAGGGCCACAGGTCAAAGCAGCATAAACCTATAGTGTATGCCACCAATGACAAATTTGTATTGCTTGCTGGTTTGAGATGTTTGGAATACCTGAAGTACAAAGAGCAAGTACTATACCCTCTGGTAAACTAACATACATAGCTATCGAAAATGGCCATTTATAGTGGATTTTCCCATTAAAAATGGTCATTTTCAACAGCTATGTTAAATTACCAGAGGGTAATTACTATCTCATGATTCATCTTTTTTGCGCAATGGCTCCTCCCAACAAATTGCAATCCTTGATTTGGATGGTGCTATTGGCCATTTTCCTTGACCAAACTTGTGGGGCTTCGCCGCTTGGAGGACTTCCTGTACCTCTGTTGGTCGCCAGATTCGAAGAATATCGCCCTCAGCAACCGCCAGAAACTTGGTGACCTGACATATAAAAGGGGATGGGCCAGCGAAATCCTGCACCAATTGATAAGGTGGTTTATCCCAACATATAATATATATATATATATTATATATATATATATTAAGTTATACAACTTGTTATAAGTTTTTCAACATGTTTCAACCAGTATTTTGCAAATCTTCGGATGACTCCGATTCGCATGGCCGAGGCAATGACCAGATCTACCTCTTAGGGCTGAAGAAGGGAGAGAGCAACTGCCTTCGCTTAGGCGAAGCCATGGTTGTTTCTCGAAAGTGGTGACCCCTGGGACATATTTTTAGGAACACCTATGTGGATGGATAGAAGGTTTTGTACTGCGGAATTCATGACATCAATATAAATTCATTGGGGCATTGATGAACATGGCTCCATTGATAAAATTCATTGGCTTATCTTCTTGATTCCACGGCAAGCTCTCGAACAGGCCCGCATATGATGCTGTTGAGCTGTCTTGGTGACGTTTCCAACTCTGGAAGGTTCCTCCAAGAACATGAACATGGAGGTGCAGCTGGCAGGATTTTCACAGATTTTCCATGGTTTCTTAATTCGGACATCGGATCCAGTGGTGGGGTTCCCCCAAGTTGCCAGAGGATGGTGATGGTGAATATCCACAACTCCCAGCACTTTTTGGTCCAGGTGAACCAGATGGTTTACAGCCCCAGCGGCGACAGCCTTTGGGTGGCCACAGGTGGCAACCCAGGCGAGAAGTGGTCAAGCTGGACCGAGATTGGTGGGAGGTTGATGAGCAGTGGATTAAAGCAGGAATGCTGATCACATTCTGTGCACAGTTCTGTGTTCAGCCTGCTAGCCATGTTTCCATCTCTTTGCCAAGCCACCGGAGGGAAGTTGCACATCTTTCCCTCCGACAGCTTGCAGAAGCCGGAGCGAAGTGCCCCTCAGCTCATGGTGGATGGATCTTGGGAGGATGAAGATCCACATCGCTCCCTAATGATTGCTATGTTGATCTATGTATTCTATGTTAACAAACCCCATTGGCAAGTACAATATCTTACCCTCTGGTAAACTAACATAGCTATTGAAAATGGCCATTTATAGTGGATTTACCCATTAATAATGGTGATTTTCTATAGCTACGTTAGTTTACCAGAGGGTAAGATATTTAACCATTAATATTACCAACCCCATTAACAAACCAATGGCTTTCTGAATCAGGTTTGAGGTCAACGTTGGGTTTTTGGGTGGGACAGTCAGCGAACACGTGTTCGCCGAGGTTACGGCCCACAATTGGGTGACCTGGCAGCACTGAAAAAAATCTGTGGTCGCAGACTGGTCTCCGGGGCTCAAAGGTCACAAAGCTCGCCACTTTTTGTTGAAAATTGACTAAAGATAATTATATGGAAGTTCTGAGGTTTTGAAGTGATTGGATGGATTGTTATGGTATATTATATGCTTCTTGGATGATTTTCATTTCATGACTTAACGTCCCGGGGCGCCATCTGAGACTGCCATCTCTTTGGCCTGCGACCCGACAGGAGCCAGTGGAGACTTGGGATGGGGTAAACCTCCAATGGGTTTTACATGGTTTTACTCTTGAGAACAAACAGAACTTAAACAAACCACCGCAGATGGTGACTTTTGTGAGATTCAGGACTGGCAAGTTGCAGTGAATTTAGACCCAGGGGCTGCCAGTGGCAACAGCTCCCAAGTCGCACCGTTGGAGCCAGGGAGATACATCTGCAGCGGCGGGGCCGACGGCCTCATTACCGTTTGGGCTGCTTGGCACCGACTCAGCCAAGCTGTGGTGGATCCATTCTGCATCCGAATCCATGGATCCAGCAATTTCGGGGGTGCTATGGGTCAACATATGTCAACATATGTCAACATATGTCTCAAGCCATATAGATATAAGCCATATATCAAGATATATCAAGCCCCAATCATCCCCAAGAAAAATGGACCATCAAGCGGAGCATTTTTTGTGAGACATTGTGCCACCTAGGATCCCCATCAGTTGCAGTGCATGAGATGTTTCCTGCACCCAGGGCAGGCCGATGATCCGCGTTGTAGGGCGTTAATTTTTTCCCCAGGGACATATACGAAATTTTATGAAAAATGATGATAAACCGGATTTGGGATGATTTGGGTATGTTTCAATTTGGTATTGTGTGTTTTTTTTTGGCTTGGCTTGATTTTCACATCCAATTTAGAGAAGGAATTGGTGGATCGGCCCATGTGCGGAAGCAGGGCCCAAGATCTGGATGTTCCTGAAACTGATCCCTGACATCTTGAGACATATTTGTCATCATTTTTCCCTTGTGAGACCTTCAGATTGTATCTTTTCTGAAGAAAAGTAGATCAAGAAATCTACTGTGATCTCCAAGGCCCAACGTTTGGCAAATTGCTCCCCTGCGCCAGGTCATTGACAAATTGGACTTCAACTACCAGGGCACGTTGATCGCTTGGGGGACCGGAGCAGGACCGACCTGCCACCCCTGGCGGACCGCCCAAATTTTGGGGCGGAAAGGCGGAAAGCAACGGCCAGATCCAGGAATACATAGGAAATCATAGGCTTAAAACCATCTTCAGAATCCAGTTTTTCGAGTTTCATGTTTGGTGATGTTTAGCCAAAAATCGTTGCCCCATGGCCCACCAATGTTGGACAACTTTGGCTTTGGTAGGTGAAAGGAGCCTCAATTTAATGGGGTCCAACACCGCGATCCCGCCATGAGCCAAGGGCAGTGGCACTTTGTCCTCTTTTTTGCTGCGCTTTTCCATGTTTCACTGTTTCACTACAAGAATCGTGTTTTTTTCTCAGGTGCAAAGAACCAACTCAAAGACTGGCCCGGTGTTGCTGAGGTACCACCAAGATTTGACCCCGGCCACCGTGACGCATTTGAGGCGGGAAAGTTGATGTCCATGTGAGGTCAACTTGCTGTTGCTTCCGGCAAGGTGGCATGGAAGCAAAAATGTTCTCATCTCAGAATCCGAGATGGGCCTTGACCGCCCACACCTGACCAAGCCTCATAAATTGGTTCATTCTGGTTCATGGTTGATTTAGTTGATAAGTTGATATTCTATGATATTTTCGTTTACAAGGATACCCATGACTTACATGGCTTGTAGGCAAATTCGCTCCCCAAACTTCGATTACAGAAGCAACAGATGACCCTGAAAATGGTGGCCCATGAATCATGATATTCCCTATATTTCCTTATAAAGTATGTCTTTATCACATGACATAGTTAATTGATGTTAATTGTATTCTGGAGCCATCTCCCGACTCCCGATCATCCATTTGACCATCTCCTAAGGTCCTTGCCTACAGCTTGAATGCCAGTCAAATGTCTGAAGAGTCCGCAACTGAGTTTCCATCTCCTAAGGCTTAACTTGTCGGAGCCGGAAAGATCGTGAAGTAACCTTAAACCACGTGGTTTGGTGATAATTAACTCACTATTTAATGTTACTTAATCTCCTTCAGCCTGAGATGTTTGGTAAACCCAATGAGTCACATCTCGGGGATGTCATTGGGGGTAGCCCCTGTTTTCAGAGTCGTCATTAGACCATGAAAAAATGGACACCCATGGTGACCTGGGAATCGTTCAATTTTA